CATCAAGTGAGTGTGTGGACAATGCTGCAGTAAGCAGTGAGGTAGGCTTCTCAAGAGGTGGTGTTGAAAGACAATCATAAGGGGAGCTAAGTTGGCTATTTTATGTATATGTACACTACAAAAACTCACCAGTTTCTGTAAAATGAGGGATGACAAGTTTAAGTTTTTTATGGTTTTTACCACAAAATATTTCCATGACATAGCATAGGTGTACATAAATTTCATGAAAACAGGAAAGCTTTTATGCATCCAGTTTTTGGAAAATTTAAAAAGTTAAGTTTACAACACAAAATCACTTGACTGTTCCACTCTTGGAAACAGGTGGGCTTGATAGTGGATGCAAGGGCAATGTTGCATCCTGTTACAATTAGCACTTTTCTCATTACTGGGTGGTTGCCCAAGGCAAAAGTGTGCAAAATTCTCAATTATTGTTTGCAAGTGATTATAAAAGCTCAGGAAATTAGTACTAATACCAAGAAGTAAAACATTTTCCCAATTTTTAAAAAAGGGCTGTGTAATCTTTTTACCATTTCTCAAATCTGAGTGGTAAAATCCAATTCCTTTGGATCTTTTGGTTTTGTTCACATTGGACACTTTACCAAGGTCTGAGTTTCTGAGCATCAACAAAGAATTGAAGGAGTCATACACCTCTATCCCCCTTCCAAATTCCCACTTTTTCATGTGTTTTGACTCTCTCTATCTTTTTCCAATTTCTGTTGATATAAGTTTTTGATTTACAAAAGGTTTATATGTGATTTGGTCAATGAAGTGTTTAGAGCTTCAAGTACAGGATCAATATCTTCAAGTCCTTGAGATTGATTTGATTTTTTTTCAATAGATTGAATAAGTTGATGGTCATCAGATTGAGTCATGATTAATAGTGAGTATAAGATGAGTTTAGTTCTTGATTAATTGGATTGATAGATGATACATAGACATTGATGGATAGAAAAATCACACTTGAAATCTCTGAGAGTGTGTTCACTTGAGCATGTTCTTATCAGAATGTGCATTCTGCAATTTTTAAATTTCAAAAATGAATAATGCTCCACCAAACCAAAATTTTGAATTTTGCAGGATGCAAATTCTCACCAGAATTTGGTGAGGTGAGCGTACCCTTAATCAATACAGATATTATGCGTTTTTAGACATTTGAAGCTACCCTCAAATGTATGCTGAGATATCTGATAAACATGTCTCACTTGACCAGTACAACATGGCTTTTTGAAGCCTTAATTATGGTCACCTTCTGCCATGTGAATGATGTTAAGTTTGGTCATTTATACCTGATGCTGTTTGAATGACCTATGTACAGCCCTTGAACTGAGAAGTTACCAAGTTTATCTGCACAGCTAGCCACAGATCTCTTCTACTTTTGCTGTGTTGTTGGGTCAGTTGAAATCCAGCACAACCCAAGAATTGGTTTGATGCCACACAAAGAATCACAGATATCACAGAATCATCAAGTTGACAATCATTTCCTTTTGATATTTCTGGACTCATTCTCAGGAACAAAGGATACTAGTCAATTCAGTTATGATAGTCTACAATATAAATCCAGAAAAAATGCAAAAATCAGACTCTTCCTGAAGTTTTTTCAGAACATCAGAAAAGCTCTGACACTTATTCTGAGGAACTCTGTGCATCATCACCCCCACATCATCTACCCCACAAAAGAAGCCAGCCCCTGCCTTAACTCTTATTTGATTCTATCCATCTTCTCTTCAAGCATACACACTCTAACTAAAAAATCTTTTTTTGTTGTTTGTATTTTTATTGGTTGTTCTTCATTCCACCTAAAAAAAGATTGATGTTTTCAAAAGTTATGAGCTTTCTTCCTTTTTAAAAAGAAAATCATTATTTGAAGGGAAAGTTGTTGTTCTTGGTGATTTTCAAATGTCTTGGCTGTTCTCCATTTCACTTCAAAGTTGGCTATCTTTTTTAAATGCTCACCTTTTGTCCTTTCTTGGGAGAAGATCATCTTTATTTGTGATGCTTAAATCTAAAAACAGTTATCCATTGGTTGTTTTTCTTGTTTCTGAAAACAAGTTCCTTATTGATGATGGAACCAGCTTATTCTTCTTCCCCTTTGTTTGTTATGATGCTTCAGTAGATTCAAATGTTTTGATTTTGAGTTAAATCAAAATAAACACTTCAATGCCAGAGTAGCCGCCTGTGTTTGTGCCACATGGTTCGTCTCATCAATTTTCCAGTGTATGGAGTGTTTCAGAAGTTGATGATGGCATAGTGAATTGATGTCAATGTTGTTATAGCTGACTACATTGATTTTAGTTGAGAAAATTGGAGGCAGATGAGATTTGTGTGATTTTGTTGGAGAAATCTTGGGGAAATGAGCTAGGTGACCTTGTCAATAAGGAAGCTTATTGAGAAAGGGAACAACTGTGTAATTTGATGAACTGTTACAGGTTGATCACATATGTTTTACATATGTAGTACAGTGCTTCACAATAGTAATCAAAGAGAGAAATAGCAAAAAGACCGTGAATCCGTGGCTACTAACTGTAAAAGGGCTTTTGAAGGTTGATATGGATGGATTGGTTGGTTGAAAAATCTGTTTGAACTAAGGCTACATGCGGTTATTTGAAATATTATCATAAAACAAATCACGCAGGATCATCTCCCAAATTGATCCGTGTGTATTTTGTTTGTTGAAATGATGTATAACATTTTAAATATCACATAGAAAGAGAAACAATAGAAAATAGACTGAGTAGAAATTGATAACTGAATATGGAATGTGATAGAACATGATAGTTTGCTCACTATGCATGTGGTTGATGATTACATGTGTTTATTTGTATGTAATTGATTATTACATGTTTCTTTATATTATTACTACATGTAAGTGGTTAATTACATGTAGATTATTGATATGTATGTAACAATTTCTTTGTAAGAAAGGTGATATGCTCTTTAGGCAGCTTATGCCCTTTCTGACAGACATGGAGCTGAGGTGGATGTGAAGTGGTAAGGCTGTTTGAAGGCAGTAGGAAGAGCCAGTTGCAATCACAAGGGCTTCTGGCACTTCACAGGGGCATTCAAACATATCTTATTTGTCAGAATGTCAGAACACACCAAAAATTGTCTTTCTGATGTTCTGAAAAAAGCTCAGACAGATTCAGTTTTTTTTTATGAATTAATACTTGTAGACCACAACTGCAACAAACACACCAGAAAAGCTTATGATCAGGAGGTCCATAGAGGTCCATACAACCTTTCAACATTGTGATCATTCACTCAGAAGGATTTCCTTGTGTTTCCTCAAGTTGTGCAGTTTAAGTACCTTTTAACAGCCTTCTCATCTGTATATAAACACCTGTTATATTTTCTTTCCAGATGTGATGCAGACATGGTGAAATACTGCCAACAAAATTGAATATAGCTCCTTATGCCAATGGCCACTGTTTCACAAACATCTATCAGGATATTGGCCTGGGCTTGTAATTTTGATCCTGCTAAGGGAGTACATAGTTTTACAATTCTAGGATCACTTATTCTTGTTTTCAAGGGTAGCCATCGATTTTTGGATGATATGACACTCACTCCATGAAAAGATCAGGTAGACCAACACTGAGACAGCTAATCTACCTGTAGCTGATAACATAAGATAGTGTAGCTAAAAACATGCCGCTAAGCTACAGCTAACATGAATCAGCATGAATGAATTCCAGCTACCCTATGCAGAGTCCCAGGAAATCTCCAGCTAACCAAATTCTGGCCTTGTAGTGTAGTGCAGAGGCACAAAAATCAGCTACAGTAGCTTGTAGCGTAGCATAACTTGACAAGCTACACTATCATAAGGGCCAGATTCTTGGTAACTGCGTACAGCTACGCTACACACAGAACGTATGGTAGTGTTTTGTAGCGTAGCTGTCTCAGCATTTGGCAGACAACATTGCAAAATCCTGGATTTTATCTAGCTCTACATTTGTCTCACTGCAGAAGGTTGATTGCTGCACCTTTTTCATTGTCCATAATTTCTTCTTGCAATGCCAATCACATCCTACTCCACTTCTTCTTGTGGTGCAACTGATTTGTCTCCTCCAGTGGAACAGTACATGCACTCACTCAGATTCCTACATGACAATCAAAGTGACTCAAAATCTTGAAGAGACCAGTGGGTTTGTGATATGTAGACCACTATAATGTTATGTAATATGAAGGTTGAAATACCCTTGGTCAGCTCCGTGTTGACCAAGTTGAGCCGAGAAGTGTTTTGTTCATGCTCACACTTCGGGCGCGTTCACTTAAGGAATTTCTGACCAGAAATCACATTCTGTAATTTTTTTAATGCAAAAATGAAACATGCACCACCAAATAGATACTTTAAATTTTGCAGAATGTGATTTCTCACCAGAAATTGCTTAAGTGAAAGCGCCCTTCATGTCAGCCTGGAATTGAATTCCCCAACCGCAAAGAAAACTCCCTACCCGGTCTCATAGTCCCTGTGGAAGATGTTGAGCCCCGGACCGTGTCCGGCTGTTCGTGGGACACCACAAGATGTTTCCAGCTGTTTCGAGCCCTCGCGCCTTCCAGCGCCTCGCCAAATCTTTTGGATTCATCACACACATCTTTTTATAAACTACGACAGTCCTAGCTATCATAGACCGCAAGTGATAAACTCTAGCACCCTGCTTTCTTCATCGGTTTAACCTCTCCACAGTCAACTCATGAATCATAAACCTCTCAATAACGATTCCCATTGCTGAGTTTCCGGACAGCGTAAATACGATAGTTTTCATACCTGCATCTCAGTTGAAATCCAAGGGCTCTAAACAGTCAAATCCCGAAATTACTTATCTCCATATCCACCTGCATCCTCTCTGGATTCGATACATTACGATCTTTGACCTGTCTCAAGCTGCTTTTCGTACCACCATTGGCTCAGAACGGGCAACCATCTAATCCAACGCATCTTTGAAGTTCTCATCCACAAGGGTTACATAATCACTTGGACAAATTCGTTGGCGATACCGACAATGCGATGGCCGGTGTATGCAACCGGACTAGTGAGGACAGAGGCCGATGGACAGGCTTTAATTAAACTGGCAGACCTAGACTGCGGACTCGCATCATCAGGAGATCCGAATCACGAAGGGATGACAGACGAGTTTGTGTTGGAGATGTTGGATGCTGAACGAAAGCTGGTCCGTTGCGATTTTGTGAGAGTGGAACTGCGTGTGGAACGGATCGGTCAACGTACATCCGATCGATCGACACCAAAACCTGTCTTAGTGCGGTGGCGGCCACACGTGAGCCCTAATAAGTTGGTATCTCGTTTCTCTTTGCTTCTATTGAGTGATGGAATGTAAGGACAACTTCTTAATACCTTTCCCTCCAAACATCCACCAACCTTACAAACAACATCCAGGAACGTCATCAGATTCAATTGCAAGGGAATGCACTTGAAGGGCCCCGTGAGGCTGTCTGCTGCTATCAAGCTGACAGCAAAGAACAGTCAGGTATGTCTGATTTCGGCTATTGGAAATCTTTAGGTGGTACAATTTGTACTGGTGTATCAGATGTATCTTAGGAAGTGAGCAACCAACCTCAGCTGCAGACGAGGTGAATGGACACATCACGGTTCATCATCGTGTCTGCTCTAGTTAGATGCGCTTTGCGACGCTTGAGGGTATCACAAATGTTATATAGAGCTGACCGAGAAACTATGTATTGCTCTCGACTGTTCTGACAGGTCAAGTGGAATTTGCGAAGGTCTGTCCGTCTATATATCTTTCGCGTGCTATATAGCATCAGCTTATTTCTGTCATGCTCGTCTTGTTATTCTCGAAAATTGATGGTCCCCTTATCCTATCCGACAGACATCGCCCAGGCCTTCATCACATTGGAGATAATCTCACTGACAACCCAGCTAACAGCCAATCACCGGGGTGTTGCTTACAGTGATAGCTGGGTTTACAGCAGGTATGCAAGCTATCTCTATTCTTTGCACAGTCCACCGTTCCCTCTTGGGGTCTTATTCCACGATTGGGCATCTATCTCAAGCCCTCTGTCATGTGTCACACAATTGGAAGTGACATGATTTCTTTTTGCCTGTAAATAGTCTTTGTCTGTAGTATCTTGCCTGGTGTATACTAAGGAAGTCGTTTTGTAGTCCAACTTGGCTTGATGTAATATTATAAACACGGTGGATTGCTCCCAAAACAACAACATCAAATTTTCTCTTCACTTAGATCTCTTCCTTGCCAGAGGCAAGAGGGAAGATGTGGCACGCAAGGCCACATGTCTTTCAGGTACTTCATCATATCCCTTACCAATCATGTGGTGATACTCCCAGGTGGTTTCAACACCCAATTCACTTTTTTTGAAAGGATGGATTCATACCAGTCTGGCGCTGTCTCCATAGCCTATTTTTGAGGGTCGGGATTCCTTTTCGCAGGATGATGTGTGGTTTCTTTCCCCCTTACAATTGGCTAGATCTTGCAATGGTCCTGAGGCGCTATGAGTTCCCCTGCTTGTCAATTTTGAGTGGGGCTGATAGGTGTGGCCTTTATTTCAGAAGATGCCAATTATCAATTTGGATCACCCATCCTTTGAAAACATACATCCAATCTAAGAGTAGTATCAAGGCAAATTAGTACATTTTCAGATACTGGTCAAGAATGACTTTTTGCAAGTTGTTTCCATAAGCTTCCGCTTGCATGGTCCCAATATGGTTTTTAGAGACTTTAAAAAATTTCTCTGCCATTGGGCACAGCAACACAAGTCCTGGGAAATGAAAACAGTCGTTACACCTGAAGCCTAAGAAGTGTCTTATCAGAGCTCCCCCAATACTCAGAATACTACTCCCTTCAAACTTCAAATTGTCAAGGTCTTGAAAATGTTGTTAATACTATCATAATCCAATATCAATGGCAACACCACTCTTGAATCTGCAAACCAATAATATTGAATTTTGAGATAGAAGTATGAGTTTTTAGAAAGGTAATTGTTGACCCTGTCACTGATGCATTCTTCAGTATACATAACCAAAGAAGTTCAGACCTTTGAGGATTTTTTTTCTCAACCATCAAATTCAATGGGCCCATGATTTAGTCTTATGTGGTCTTAGTATGAAAAAACTCTCTTAGTTACTAAGTATATGCCATGAAGCCTTCAGTCACCCCCCCAGCTGATTGATATGGGAAGGATGTCTTTGAGCTTTTTTCATAACAGATATTTCCCTTGTCTTAGACTTCACACTCAATGATCAACTGTCTTGCAAGCACTTGTAAGATTCCCTTGCAGCAACGTGCGAGGTTTCTGTCACCCAGACTTGCGCGCCGGTGCGCCGGCTCATGCCACCTGACGCCGATCATGTCAGATGCTGCGCCTGAATTGGGCCGCAGCTGCTGTGGTGTGCACCTGGTATGTAGAATTTGAAAACGTGTCCAACCGGTTGGTTGTCAGATCAACTTCCTTCGCTTCAAGTTCCGCTCGATTCTCAATACGAAAAATACCAAGTCGAAGAACATCAAACTACAATAAAGCTGTTTCCAACATGATGGATGATAAAGGTATGTCCTCTCATACTTACAGAGACTTTCACCATTTCAAACGTCATCGCAATCTTTAACACACTTCCTTGCAATCTCAAATCTCGAAAATCTCAAAGTCGCGAATGGACTCGGGAACGGAAATACCATGCCCTCAAACAAGGTAAATATCAATGACCGCAAGGCTGATGCAGTATCCCTAGATGATCACATTCTTTTCCAATAAAACTGTCAGACATATCTAGAAACTCCCTACCTTGTTGCACATGATAATCTATTTCCCATCCACTTCGTCAACGAGCGTGCTGACCCTGACTCGACATCTCTTTTTGGACCTTCAAGGACTCTGACCGCTGGGAAACAGATGACCGTCGAAGAGATGATGACTACCACGTAAGTCTTGAATCTGCGCGTTCTTCTTGAGTCGCTCTACATTTGATTTTGTCGCTGATTTTGTCTGATGCCTACCTCAGCGATCATCTACCAGTCGACGTTCTCGACGCTCTCGCTCTCGGTCCCGATCACCCAGACGTTCGCGTCGGTCCAAGTCGAGATCTCGTTCCCCTCGCCACGACCGACGTTCTTCTCGATCGCCAATCCGTAGGTCTGGGGATCGCGGAGATCGTGGAGGCTACAGTGGGCGTGGTCGCGGTCCACCTGATGACCCGGCTCGACGTGCAATGAATCGAGATTTGGTAGCGGCGGAGGCAAGTAAACGGAGTGTGAAGGAGAATCGTGTCTATGTCGGCAACTTGGCTTTTTCAGTCAAGTGGAGCGACCTTAAGGTTAGCTCGTCTTTTGGCCTTCACCCCTTATCTAGCGCGACTACTGACCTACTCATCTCCTTCACTTTTCTCTGCCGTCTCAAGGATTTCATGCGTGAGGGTGGGTGAAATTTGCTGAGAATTCTTTTTCCCACCAAGGTGGCTATTATGTTTGTGTGAGAGAAGAGGTGGTAGTAGTAGTCTCTGTCTTTATGGATATTACAAAATGCTAGCTATGAAGGCCGATGTTTGGGTATTCAGTTGGACCCCGATCAATCAGAGCTACATGAAGTGTTGGATAGCTGGCTGATTGGCTTAGTCTGATGGTTCAGCTACTACTGGGGATATCCGTGTGGTGATTGTCTTATATGACATTTGAGGTCATGGGTCGGATAACATATGACTTCAGATTGTAGCAGGCATCTCTGACTTCCTTACAACGACGTCTTCGTGGTCCATGTAATGCGAAAGAAGTAGTGGTGGATGGGAAACTGTTCGAGATGTAAAAGGGAGATGGTTACTGACGGAAAGGCTGGGTTTGGTTGTGCATTTTTGTATATGATGGTCTTACTTTTCGGATGATAAAAACGGGCGGAATTACTTTGAATCGGTCTACTTTGGGCTTTGATTCCTTCGATCTCGCGTTGGACTACTCAGTTGGAAACGTGGTGTTTGCGGAGGTCATGGTTCTTCCAAATGGAATGAGTAAGGTATATCATGAGTGTCGCCTTTCCATCGATTTTCAAATTTCACGCTCATATCATTTCTCTTCTCTAGGGCTGCGGTGTAGTCGAATTCAGCACGCGTGAAGAGGCCGAAAAAGCAGTGAAGACATTAAATGATACACCACTCTTTGGGCGACAGGTGTTTGTACGAGAGGTATGAACGCTTCAGTCTTGCTTACTTCTGGCCTTCTACTCACATGCCACTCTTGTGCTGGTTGGCCTTCAAAAGGACAGAGAGGAGGAAGCAAGATATGGTGCATTGGCTGTCTCTGGTTTCGGTGCCCGTGGTGGAATGGGTGGAAGGGGTGGTTATGGCTATGGTGGCGGCGGTGGTGGCTTTGGGGGAGGTGGTGCGCCCCCACCACACGCTTGTAAACAACTCGCTATCTCCGGCGTACGTACCCTTTGGTCCAGAATCTGATCAACATGATGAAATCGCTGATCATACACCCTACGGTTCATAGCTGCCATTCAATGTGGGCTGGCAAGATCTGAAAGACATGTTCCGTTCTGCGGGTGCAATCATCCGAGCTGATGTCTATTTTGGCCCTGATGGATCTCCTACTGGAAATGGAATGGTGGTCTTTGAGACTGCGCGTGATGCTCAAAACGCAATAGGTTTCAATCCATCCATCTGCTTATCTCGTACTTCTGTTGGAACTGACCATCATCTCATGTATGATTTTTCTTTCTCCGGTAGCGATGTTCAATGGTTTTGAATACGAAGGGCGTACAATGGAGGTGCGCGAAGATCGCTCGGCTGGGGGCGGGCCGGGTAGTTTCCGGGGAGGTTTCAGAGGTGGGTTCAGAGGTGGAATGGGTAGGTCACTCTCAGAGTCTGCATTATATGTTGTGCAGAAGTTCATAGCAATGTCGTATTTTTCTGTGAATCTTGTCTTCCCTCTAGGTGGGGGGCGCGGTGGATTCCGCGGTGGCTTTGGTGGGGGTAGCGGTCGCGATACGACCAATCTATACGGAGATTACTCTGGTCAGGATGGCTCCGCTCACGGAGGAAGTTTTGGTGGGCCAACTGGTCCTCGAGGCGGTTTTAATGGAGGACATGGCGGCCGAGGTGGTTTCGGCGGAGGGGCTCCATTCGGGGGACCGTCGCTGAACATCCAACCCAACCAACAAATCTTTGTGAAAAATGTAAGTAATCTCCGCACTTCAAGCTAAAGTATACGTGTTGATGACTGTTTTTGCCAATAGCTGCCATGGTCGACTTCAAATGAGGACTTGGTGGAGCTATTCCAGACCACGGGCAAAGTCCAGAATGCAGAAGTTATATTTGAAGGTGGAAGATCCAAAGGTGTGGGGGTGATTGAATTCGAAACCGTCGAGGAAGCTGAAACAGCAATTGGTGAGCGAACAAGGCTTTCCCTTTTTACTTGAGTCAACAAAGATTGCTTGACTGATTTGTTCAAATCTCCCCGGATAACAGCCAAATTCCAAAGCTACTCGTATGGTGGTAGACCGTTGTCACTAGAGTTCAATGGCCGATGGAGGGATTTCTCAATCAATGCCCCAAACAATGCCAGTTCAGGATACGGGGTGGGATCATAAGAATTGATTGTTTTCTGTACATATGTGGTTGAACGTCTGGGGTCTTGAACACCCATAAACGGTAATCCTCTTTGCTTTAGAACCTTTCACTCTACAAACGTCGTGCGTTTGTATCAAGAGCTCAAAAATACGAAAGATTTAGATATCCTACAGGCCGTGCAAAGAACATATTGTTAACTTGTACATATTCATGCATACATATGATATGTTTAGAGTCTTTGAATCTTAGCTGTCTCTGCTCAAAGGCTGTGACACAGGAAATAAGAGGCAATTTTTTCATGGGAAACCCCATTGTATTGCACCCAGTTGATGAGCCAAAATGTATTATTTTGGCATTATTTCTGTCTTGTTTCTGTGTTTTGGCTCAGAAACTGCATTAAATTTAATCAGTCTTCCCAGGGGAAAATCATATCTTGTTTCCTATATATATTCTAACAAGATGAAATCTTGCTTCCTAAAAGTGCCAATGAGTAGAAACACAGGAACAAACATTCAGGGCCCGTTTAGAGCATCCGCACTCGTGCGGTAAATCGGGTGCGGTAAGGTTAAATTTAACGCAACCGCGGGGTCTTTTCCACACCGGTGGAAAATTAGCCCCGCGGTAGTTAACTTTTGATCAATTTGCGTTAGCAAATCGGTAAATTTACCGATTGGCTAACGCATGCATTAACACACATCGCGACTAGCTGACAGCAACTTCGACTCCAAAAACGAGACTCAACCCGACCTCCAACACCAAAGTCAACCCACACCTCCTTTTCACCTTCCACATTCACCTTCCACACACGATGAAATCCAAGCCTCACAGTCACATGAACTAAATCAAGAACAATCAATGCTGATTCATGTTGTTTCAATCTTCAATTTTTGGTGTTTTTTAATTAAAATAGCTCGATCAGATATCTTCAACTTGACTTCATACCAATCAGATGAATATGTAGAATGTCAACATTCATATAGCATGTACAGTTCAAATGAAAGAAAATCAACATTCAAAGACTAATCATGGGGGACTTTCAAGATCAAGTGATACAAATCATTAAGAAAAGTTTGGATTTGTTCAGATTGTTCAGATCGTCAATTTTTCTTTTTTAACTTTGAATCTTTAATATTTTCACAAGATCATAATTGCATGTATTCAGACTCATTAAAGGCTTGATCAATGTAGTCAAGCGTTTGGTTTTTGAACTTGAATTGATCGATTGAGTTGCTGAACAAAGTCATGTTGACTTTGTCCTTTTAAATCAAAATTGCTGATCAGGTAGATGAACAAGTATTGGATCTATGTAGATGGAGAATGTGAAAGCAACTTCAGTCCTCCAAAGAAGCGGACAGTGGCTCTATCATATTAACACTTGTGATGAAAGCAGGTGATTAGTACTTGAAAAATCAAAATGTTACCTTACTGCATGACCCGTGTGGAGCACATGCATTATCTGTAAAGTTGTAACAGTTACAGCACTGCTAATGCAAACGAGTGGGGAATTTAGTCGAGTTAAGTAATTTTTTACTTAAAGTAGGGTTTGTTACCGTGCGTGATCAAGTTAACAACCGCAAACCAGTGCGGATGCTCTTACTGAAGTAACACCGCGGGAATTAATGGGTTCAAAACCCGATTGAAGAAAGTTGCGGTGACCGGGTCCGCAACTTTCTTCAATCACCAATTATGTTCGCAATACGTTCGCAATACGTTTGCTGGATACCCTCGAGGTACCATTTCAACACATCAAAACGGTCATATGCAACAACGCCACAAGCCATCTTATCCTTGCTTATCTTATCACGATTTGGCACATGTCCAGGAACAAGATTAAATGAGAGGTACACCCATGGCTCAAGCAAGGCAAAATTTCCCTCTGCCAATAGAGAACTGAACATCAGCCCAGTTAACTACTCACACCTACTCGCCAGGGAACAAAGCTACTCAGGACTAATCATAAGTTCGATGAATGTATTGTGTGACGGTCCAAAGAAGAACTTTTCAAAGTAACATGTATTCTCAAAACAAAAGAATTGAAAAAATGTAGTCAATGGAACGCCCAATTCAGGTTAGTTTTGTTTGATATACCAAGGTACATCACACTTCTTATGAGTCGTTTCATGATAAGAAACTTCAGCATGTTGAGATGCAAAGAACCTGTAAGAGGCTTGACTTGGTGTGTTTTGCTTTCAATATTCAAATTGAATCAAAGAGCAAAAACCAAACAAAAAGGTGATTGTACAGAGATTGAACACAAGAACCAAGTTGGTTTTGGTTTTAATTCCTAATCATTGCAGATGAATTTTTGTAATCCAATCACTCACTCCAAAATAGACCTGGTGGATTCAAATTGGAATGATGATCAGAAAATAGGTATCGTCCAAGAGTATGATGTCCAACAGAGCTAAAAGGATGGATTGAGTTTGGCTTCAGCAACAACGTTGGTACAGAATCACATACCACTAAGTTCTGCTGATGTTGTTTTTGAGCAATCTGATTCTCAAGCTCTTGTTGAGTTATCTTCAAATCATCATCAGACAAACTTGGATCAAGAATCGAAGGGCTTGTGGTGTTGTTGCATATGACGGTTCTGATGTGTTGAAACAGTATCTCGAGGGTATCCAGCAAACATATTGCAAACGTAATTGGTGATTGAAGAAAGCTGCGGACCCAGTCACTGCAACTTTCTTCAATCGGGTTTTGAACCCATTAATTCCCGCGGTGTAACTTCCAATCATTGAGTATGGGATACAAAGTAGAACCCGGGCACATGCCCGGCTTCATGCCCGGAATTATTTTGGCAGTAAATTTTGATTTTCTGGGCAACCATAATTGAGCTCATTTGAGTGCAAACCATCCAATGTACTGGTCAGGAGATGCATTTTGAATTAGACAGAATGTGATGTCTGACCAGACTTTACTTAAGCAGATGGGCCTTTAGCCTATCCTGAATAGCCTTTAGGAAGGACATTTGAAAGATTTGCACAATGCAATATTCTAAGACTACCAATTGCGGGATACAAAGTAGAAGCCAGGCACGTGCCCGGAATGGGTCTCTTAGTTTTGGACACTGTTGTATCAGGATCACGCTAAACAGCCGCAGAGGGCAGGCTTAGATTAGCACATAAACATAAGCCTGATAAGAAAAAACACAACTGAAACATAGGTGACTAAACTGAGGATAAATATGAGTTCTGTGGGTGGTTTCTTCTGGCGACAACTTTTCTAACTTAAAATTAAAATAAAATAACGAATAGAATATAATGATACATGTAAAAATTTTAGAAAAAAGTCCTAATTTGTAAACTAATTTTTTATAATACATTTTTTCTGATTTTAAATGGAATTATACATGAATATATTCTTTAGCTGGGTGGGTGGGAGGAAAAGAAAATTTTCTACTGATAAAAATTTTCTCAACGTATGAAAGAGGAAATCTTAGGATAATGATATGATGATGGAGAAAAATTTCTAAAGATGATTATAAATTTTTCGATGATGAAGTGGGAATTAGGGAACTTCCAACATCCTATACATCCACTCTTTCCTTCATGACATCATGATCAGCAACTATAAGATGAGTAATTGTGATCCTTCGTCTGAGAGGAATGGATGAAGTGATTGACCCGGTTACTTCATTATCCGACACTCTTTCCCGACCCATTCCCATCCTTCAATACACGTACCGAATACTAGGCTTTGTGCCCGGAATTATTTTGGCAGTAAATTTTGATTTTCTGGGCAAAAGTCTGGGCCCAGAATTTGAATTTACTGCCAAAAAAAATCTGTGCACAAAGCCAGGCACATGCCCGGCTTCTACTTTGTATCCTGTAAATGGCCTCACAGTCCTCAAATCCAAATTTCATGATGAGAACCCATACTACCAGCCCCTGATCCCTCCCAGTGGGGAATCTGCACAAGAGCTATTATAAGGTAGACAAAAGGGACACTTGACCACACAATCAAATATTTAATATCATGATCAAGAGAGAAAGTAGACTATGCACACCTTTCTGAGTCTTCCTGATCCTTGGGGCCATGATGTGGTCATCATTGATTCCAGATTTCCCTCTTGACACACTTTAGTCTCAAGGACTATCACATCAGTTAACACCCTTTCTGATAACAGCATATATCTAAGAAAGAAGCAGACTGTTTTGATTGGCATCTAGGAAGGGATGCATATTTCAACTTCATCGTAACCTGTTCCCCGGGTATTCACTCTTCTATCCCTCACTTCAATATTCAAGAGTATTGTGCAGTCAGAGCTACCATGTCTCAGAGGGAAAGCAGGCATTTTGAGAAAAGTCTAGAAATCTTTTCAACAAACAAGAAATTGTTCAAAACTGAGATACATGATTTATAATTAGATGTGCCAGATTATGATCAAGAGAAGAAAGAATACAAAGTAAAAGAAGAAGAAAAAGTTGAATGGTTCAGTTGACCCACTTGGAGTCCCCCCAATACTTGTTACCTTGTTGAGTTTGAAATGAGTGCCAGAATTGATTGATGTGATATGCTTGTTACCATCTTTTGGGTTCCCAGCTTTAATACCCATGATATTGTGGAGTTGATCACACCTATTGTCTGATGGAAATACTAGCATGTTAGAAACCTCAGAGACCTCCTCCACATTCCAGTTCAGACTGGAATACATTGTGGAATGTTCATCAATACCACAGTTTAATGGGAAACACAATTCAGTGTGTTCATTCCACTATGACATCCCCAGAATTATCTTCATATATGGAAAGCTTCAGGCTCCCATTACAAAGTCCGTCATCTGATGTTGAGGGCTGTATTGGTGGTAGATGATAAGGTGAGGACTGAAATTCATTAGGATTACCTTGACATGATGTTGTGGTATTCTCCTTTGGACTAACAGTGAGTAATTTATCTGCTGTTGTGATTGATGCACTGTCAAGCTGATCTGGGCCATCCTTTTCAAGATTGCTGGTTGCACCTTTATTATAAAATGGCTGAATGCAAACTTGATGTATTCCCCACTTGTTCAGACACTTGAATGTAATGTAGTCCCAGAGTTTTATCAGTCTGTGAAGGTTATTTCTGCTTGATTTGATTCAAAACTTACTTGGCATATCTGACTGCAGGTTATGTTGAAATCAATCAAAGATGGCTCTGAGAGAGTGATTTGGATAGTGGAAAGGACCTTTGATTGTGCTGCTCAAAGGTCAGTGATTGTCATAGTTATTCAGCTTCAGGGCAAGAAGGTTGAATTTGATTAAAGACTGTACATGATACTCACTCAACTGCCAAACATGAATCCCAGTCACTCGCTCCACGTTGTGAGCTTTTTCAATGTCATTGACCACTAGATTCATGTCCAGGTCAGATGGAGAGCTCTCCAGTAAGATTGATGCACTTTTCTTCAAAAGAGGGAGTATTGTTGTGAACATCATCACACCAATACACGCGGATGCAATGCAGTCACAATAAATAAATCCTGTCTTCATGTAAAATGTGGCTGATACGATAATCAAGAGACTGTTGAGGGCATAACTCGAGAGGTAAATAGCTAGATCCAAGAAATTCCACCACCCCTCTTTTCTGGAAGGTCTGGTCCGAGACCTATGGTCGCAATGCAACTAGGAATATGCAAATCCGTATATCAGGTCTCACGTATATCAGAGGCTCAAGGCTTGCGGGGCGCAAGCATCCACGACTTACTTGCACAGGATCCACGACAAACAATGCTGGCGCTGGTGATTCATTCTTTGTATGACTTTGATGCTCCGGATCGTTAGCAACTCTTGAAGTTAGATTCGAAGACGCTTCACGAGCATTTTTGATATTTAGCTCGGGCATATGTACCGACTGATTTTTATCATCGTTTTCCCGCTCTAAATTGGTTTAATTTGAATGCAAGCAATCAATCAGCGGCTTTGATCCACCTTGCTTGAAGCCAACATTATATTTACCGTAAATTGTCAATGCGCTGACCAGTTTCAGTGCGAGGCCCACACATCCTACCTTATTGAAGCGATCCTCGTGTAAGTGAATGGAGAGCGACTTTCATGAAGCGGAATGGGCGTACAATAATCATGTCCATCGGATTGATTAAGGGACGCGGGTCTATAAATTTTTTGATTGTCTGAAGTGCCATTGATGTGAATAAGGCCAGGAGGAAGACTGCGAAATGAGAGATGACATTCCTTATCAGAGAGGTATTCATTGGATTCGTAGGGCTCGCATTTGAGCATACAAAATGTCATGGCATACCCCCATTGAAAAACGCGCCTAGGATCTCGATCCTTTCCCAGCCAAAAGTATAACTTCCCAATGAGGATAAAGTCCTGATGCCATGCCGTTCCAACTCTTGTATTTTGATGAAGAAGATCAACGCGAAAATTAATTCAATCAAGTTATATGATACGTGAAAGGCATCCGCAAGCAATGCTAGAGAGGAACTGCGAAATCCAATGACAAGCTCAATGATGCAAAAAGTACAAAAGAAAAGTGCAGATATCGACAGATGCTGGAATGAAAGCCGCCTCAATGTCATGATGGCGGTAGTATCTATGTACTATGCGATGAGGGAGGTATCATACAAAAAGTAGAGGTTTTGCCTTCCAAATGTTAATCTCGAGCCAATCCTTATATGGCACAAGAGCATATGACTACGCATGATCAGTAAGGATGTTTGTGAACCTGATTCGCACTGGCACGAGTTTCAGTTGGGTTGCGGCCTCAGCCCACCGATGCCCTTTCGACATTCACAAACGCCAAAGTGTCTTGAACGTATAAACCGGGGAATACCGCTTCACCGGTACCTCGCAGACTAGGATTCAAACGCTCGAGCTGGGGCTGTCTGCGAGTAAGTCAAATGTCTATCTGCGGAGCAAAACAATTTGCGTACATAATTTGTAGGGACCAGGTATGATTTACATTGTTCGATCCACATGAAGCCTAGTGTAGTACGTTCTGCAACCCATCGCAGCAGCTATATACGTAGTGGACTGACGAACCACTGGCACTGGCAGCTAGGCTTCGCCTTCTGCAACCCATTGCAGCAGCTATATAGGTAGTGGACTGACAAACCACTGGCACTAGCAGCTAGGCTTCGCCTTTCTAGCATTTTCTAACATGCTCCTCAAGATAGCTCAGCACTCAATGTCCATTTGATTTAAATATGTAACTTTATTTTGCATGTGCTGTTTAAAGAAAAATTGAAGACAGATTACATCTTCATCTCAAGTGAATATATAAAACTTTCTGAAGGCCCCAGTAGGTGTTCCAAATTTGCTCCCAATTACTTCAGGACTCTTATTCATGAAGAATAGTGCTTCATCAGGTTCTGAAGTCGTGGTTGATTGTTATCAGAGAATGTGATTTTTGTTCCACTCATAACCCAATGATTCAGAATCTGTCTGCCCACCTCCATCACTGCCACCCAGTTTTGAATGTAATGAAGTAATTAGAAGCCAAGGTCTCACAATCAAATAATTGGACTTTTTACATGTCTGCTATTTCATATGGGTTGTCCCAGGTGGCTCCAGGGAGTCCACCTAAAATCAACATTTCTGCAGTCTGGCATCCAAAACTACAGCAACTGTAGTTCTTTCACCTGCAGTAAATAAAGCAAGGGGCAGAATCTGGGCCCTTCTCACTTTCCACAATCACACCTTGTATTGATCCTCACACTGAAATCTAGTTAGTTTATGTTGAGAATCTACACACCTTAGAGCACCCACTATGGGTGTGGTAAACAGCAGTTTTATCGTAAGTTTACCGCTAAAACTTACACAGGTCCACTATGGACCTGTCTTAGACATGCGGTCCCTACGACTGCATCAAATCATGAATCAAGCTTGTCTAACTTTACACAAGCTTGATTCATGTTTTATCCTAAGATTTGACGCATCAAATCTCAACCGTTCTTTGTTTTTTCATCAATTCATCATGCTTTGACATCTCACACTTGACCAATTTTGATTTTCAATCTCAACATGTTGGTTCCACCACCTGCCTCTGAAACTTTGAACAACAATCAATCTATGCGGATGCGAGTCTGGAGAAGTGGTGGAGGTGAAGGAGGCTTGTCAAAGAGGAAGTCAAATGCAACTTGCTCATACTCTAGTTGCTCCTTGTGGTCATTTGAAGACTTCAAAAGAGCATTGATTGCCCTTTTCATTGAAGCAGGCATCGAGATGTTGTTTTTGGATGTATTATTTGAAATAGATACGATCTTTCAAGTTGTGACTTTGCCACTGTTGGATCACTTGATTCATATTGATTCATCGTTGGTAAATCACACGGTAAATCACTCCGTAGTGAATTTCATGCGGTAACTGATTTAGTTGTTACACGCATGATTACTTTTTGCGGTCAGGACCGCAAAAATTACGATAAAACACCTCTACCATAGTGGGTGCTCTTATAGCTCATAGCCTGCTGCACAGTCAGTGTCTGGTAGCAACATGAGGTGGTGCAGATATCTCATTGCATCAACAAGGGTAAGTGAGACCATTGAGTGTTGGATAATTGTGGAGTAATACCGGTCACCATTTGCCTCATAAGAGCATCTCCACCGCTGGCGTGTAAAAAACTGCTCTGTACGATGTCCTGCTGACAGGTTTGAGCCTGTATGCCAAATTTGCGCGGAGGTAGGCAAAACCGCGGCCGTGTAGAAACTGACAGGTTCAAACAGTCTATGCCTTTGATCCAAGCATAAGATCGTTTGTCTCATACAAACTGACAGGGTAGGTCGGACAATATTTCAGATTTCGGTGATATTTGCCTTTTTGTACGCCGTGCAGATTTGCACTCTCCCGGTCAAGATTTGGACGTCGTGTAACCCATACAGGCTGTTTACACGCTCCGGTGGCTCGAATATTTTCCCACAAGACGTGAAAATAGCCTGTATTTGGGATTTTGCACGCTCCGGTGGCAATGCTCTAACAAGGGTGTTGGAAGTGGCATGACCAAAAAACAAGCAAACATATTCACCTCCAATGAGGTTGAAGTGGAAATGACACAAATAAATATGTGCTTCATTGACATCTTTCAACAAATTACAGACATCGGATTTGAAGCCAGCATTGCCAACAAAGATGCTGTGGATCTTCATATCCAAATATCCTCAGATAGAAATGACCTTGGATAAGGCAATCAGGTAATTGATTCAAGGCTTCTTTTGGGGCTAAATAACCTTGGGCTCATTTCCTCATACCCATATTCCAAGGCAATCTGCATTTGAGAATACTGCAGGAGATGATAAGGCCTTGCAGGTATTTTGAAAAAATCCTTAGGTGAAGGTCTTGGATTGTCCAGGCATAGTCCTGTCTGTTAGCACATAACATGAACCAGAAGCTACAACTTCTCCTTCCAAAATTATGTCTCTGTAACCAAACATGGACACAATACCAGAATCACTACAAAACACAGTGAAATATGACATATTTACATGTTGTTGTGTGGTATACGCTATGTATTGATAAATAACACAGTGCTATTTGGTAGAAAAAAATTGCATGGGGTTGTGCAGTGTTCAAACCACTAAAAATTTGCTATATTGTGCAGAACACCGTTGCACTTGAGGATAACTAGGAAAGTTCCCTAGATGATTAAGGAACATGATTCCTACGCCCGAAGCGGCAAATGAAATTGAAATACGTCTGGCTACCTGTCCCACGTACAGACACCGTGCCAAATTGATTCCAATCTCCCACTCGCTTCTCCCACCTTGACCTTGCGCAATCCCAGGCATTCCCTCACCTCCAACAACCATGAACTATCCCTATGAAAAATAGTACTTTAATAAAAGAACCTACTGGGGCAGTGAGGAAGTAGCATCATCTTTGAAGATCTTGGATCACAGGTTTACCGTGTTTGAGGCAATATAGGCCCATTTGTGTGCTGCTTCCACCAGTGGATTGGTCCATGCTTTGACTTGCTGAGGTCTCAATTGCTTGATGAACACCACGCTTGTGAACAATTATGTTCTACAAGCCTCTTCTACTTATTGGGTGTGGCTAAAGTCAATACCAGAACTGCTCCGCAACATATAGCGGTATCGGAGCGGTATTGGAGCGGTTTTTACACCGCTATATTGACCACTATACGTAGCGGTGGCTCCGCTCCGCCATCCCAAGGCGAGAAAACCATTAGCGGTCTGACCGCTCCGATATGGGAAGGGTCTGAGGGCACTTCAATATGCCTTTTAGCCCTTATAGCAGCGATATATAGCGGTATCGGAGCGGTAAAATACCTTCCGCTCCAATACCTTGTGATATTTTTTTAAAAAAAAATATCGGTCAAGTATCGGTGATCTCATAGCGGTTACTCCGCTCCGATACCAAAATGGGTTGAAATCCATAGCGTATCGGAGCGGTTCTGGTGTTGCTAAAGTTGCCTCAAGTTTTCTGTTGAGGTGTGGTCTTGCAAAGGCTGCATGGTTGCGTTTTAGCATGCAACACACCAACTTGGATCCAAAAGCGAGAGGGACCTTGCTCCCCCTTGCTCGTATACATATTTGGGACTTGAAGGACTTGTTATCTGACTGTGTCAAACACATTGAGATGTAGTCTGACACTGCGGTTGGCAGGGATGTGCAATACATATGGGATACTTATATAGGAATGTTCCTTACACTAAGGGTCAACAGTTGACAGCTCAGGATGTCCGTTATTCATCCTCCCCAAGGACATCGCGTGGATGACTGCAAGAGATCCTTGCAATGTCCTTTAGGTTCTTGCTGTCAACAATTTGAGTCCAGTTGACACCCAAGAGGGAACCCTGAAACAAGTCCCACAGCTTGCTCAGGCCTTGACAGGGGTCTGAGATTGAAAGAAAGTTGTGTTGTAGGACTTCTCATAAAAGAGGAACTTGTGAGTTGGAATCAAGTCCGGCCGCGCTTCTTCCTCTTTCTCCCCCTTCACAAATTTCAAACTTGATCATTTTTCTACCATCTTACTACATATATCCTCATCAACCTTTGCCGTTTGGCATTGTTTGGCTTCATTTTATAGCCATGCTTGTTGCTTTATGTTCTTATACAAATTTGTCCCCTTCATCTCACCATCCAATTCACAAGTCAATCTGATACTTCTGAGCAGGTCTCTTTGTGTGTCCTTGTATATTTACGATCCCATGTTATACCAGTTTCAACTTTTGATGGATTTTTTTCTTATTGTTTTTGTTTTGTTTTGTTTTGTTTCTACTCCATACATCCATCTAGATTGATCTTGACTCATTTTTTGTGTTATTCTTTTTTGATGATCCCATGAATGAAATAACAAACTTTTTAATTTTCTTCTTGCTTGCTCACTACATATGTAATTCACCACTGGTCAAATGACCCTTTGCCCCAAATTGAGAATTACAATGGTCGCACTGGGCTACTGGAGGTTGACTGGCCTGCGGTTCCTGCACCCAGACCCTTTTGAACACATTTCTGCAATTCAATCAGGTCTCTCAGCGTCGCGCGGAACCTAAAGCAAGGATATTGCGCCAATGTCCCCGCTCACATCCGCGCGACCTCCTCTGCGAGGATAATCAACGGAGATCAGCCGGATCTTTGTTGGATGTTGCAAGACAGGACATCCAATGGATGTCCGCATTGGACCGTAGTGTAGGGGTCTTAAGGAACGTTCCTAGTTATCCGCGGATGCAACCATGCCCTCATATTGTGCGCTACAGATGAGACCGCAATATAGCGCACTACACGCACTATATTTCACACTACATCAGGTAAAATAAGATAAAAAAGTATTTGATTGAAATCCATGTGTACAAGTCCAAGTGTGTATAGCATTAATCAAGTAGGAGAGTGGATTTAATGATTCTACTATAAGTATTATAGGAATCAAGTGAAGCAATAACAAAAACTAAAATAAAACGTGAGCAAAGTAAAATGAACATGTATATATGAAACTTTCATAAAGCTATCTGATTTGATATATAAAAGACAAGCCTAATGAACTAAAAGATTAAAGACAAGGCTAGCAATTCCTTTTGGCCATATTATAAATATAAGCTTGAAGAGATCTTATAGCCTCTGGAAATGCTCCATTGGGGATAATCCCCTCCTTCAACAAGGCTTGAGAGCCTACCAGTCGCTCTATGGTTTTAGGTAGCATACTACCTCAAGACACGGTACAGACATCGGCAGCAGCTGAAAACATATGCTCACATGCACATGAGGTGGCTGAGATAGCAAGATAATTGTGTGAAAGTATTGAAAGGATAGGGAAACAGAGGTGATGTCCCCGTTGAAAAAAAAATGAGGTTAAACATGTTAGAACCAAACTTTCATGCATTGGGAGGGAAAACATAGCATCTTTACCTTCCACCAACTGAGTGCAGTTTGATCTTTTTTGATAGGGAGTTGACCTTGAAGATAGTCTTCAAGCTCCATAAGTGGCTTGACACTTGTAATTTGGGTGCTGCAAGCTATACATAGTTGTCAGGAGGGTTCAATGGTAAATTTATCAGGGTGTTGAAGTTAGAAAATGCCTAAAATACAATGTCTTTACATTTAGTGATGCTTGATTGTTCTGATTTTTCAAAATACACTGAGACATCCCCACCTGCACAGCACATCCCTAAGAAAAAAATCAAAAAAGAGATTTTGAAGGGCTTGGATGCCAAAGTAGTTTTAGGCACTTTTTGGCCAACTTCAGCCCACTATTCACCTTTTTGTGTGCACAGATGGCAAGATGCTTCCGGGGCAACCTTGATGCTTTTCAGATGTCTTTGTACTCAATAGGGCTAAACTTTGTCAAGCTTCAAAACAATACCATGTGATATATGAGCTGCAAGAATCAGCTTATGAGGATCATCAACATTATGTGATCCATGGCACAGGTCACATGGTAGGAAGATAGGAGATCTGGGTTTACAGTGAATGTAGACTTGAAAACTGCTCCAGGCTTGTGATAGGCCCATAGGTCTTGCAGATGGAATTGGGAATTGGGGGCTGAGATGTTTCCTTGAGGGTAGGTGTATTTTGAAGATTGATACAGTTGATAGATACCAATCTGATTGAATCCTAATTTATCGAATTTGGATTTTGAATTTGAATGAAAAATCGAATCGAGTTTGGAGTGAGTCTCGCGTGATCAACTTCTGGATCAACTGATGGTTTTCATTAAAAACTTACTTACAGCCATTCCGATATTGCTTGTCGCTCCGGTTTGAAAAAGAAAAAGTGAAACCTAAGTTTTTACCTGTTTTTACTCAATAAAACTTCAAACTTGGCTGTAATTCAAGGCAATACAGCCAAATTCCAGGTTTTAGCCGGTTAAAACTTAGGTTTCAAGCTCACAAACTTTTTCTTTTTCAAACAGGTGCGACAAGCAATATCGGAATGGCTGTAACTTGTACTTTGGATCTCTTTACTTTACTCAATCCTATCATCAACAAAGCTCAACCAACTACTGAACCATCATAATGACATCTTCCAGATCAATCTCACTTCACGAGTCAGCACTTTCTCCTCAAGAATTTGAAACCTATCGAGACTTCATAACCAAATTTGATCAATTCTCGCTTCCACGTGGTGGTCAGGTTCGATTTGCAGAGGCTGCTGAATTCTTGAGGAGATGGTTTCCATTCGAGACAGAAAAGGAAGATGAGGTCAATTCACTCTCCCCTCTTCTCTCATCTCGAATCTTTGAAAACAACAGCTAAACAGATACCAACCATTCATTCAATCAGATTCGAAGCTTCTTTCCTCAAAAACTACAACTCGGTCAAATGGACCAGGGATGCGTACTGGCCCTTCTCAGACTTCTCTCACATCTACAAAATCGATCTTCGCTGTCAGAGCCTGTCAGAGGTTCAAGTCTTTACCGCGATTTGATCTTCATTCAAACGAAACCTCTACAAGCACTCTCGAACTCGAATGAACCCTCAGCATCTGTTTCGCCCTTGTCGCGCGCTAATTCACATAGCTCTAACCCATTCCGATCAGCAGATGCTTCTCAACAGGCCAACTTTCTTGAAGAACCATTGGTTTGTTCGCCTCCCATCCTGTCAGCACGACATCGAAGCTTTGGGTCATTCGAACCTCCTCGCCCCACTTCTCCCCCCAAGCGTCCAAACAAGATGGTGCAGTCACTTTCGGCTGAAAGTATCAACACTTCTACCTCTATCCAGGGCAATGCTCAATTGGAACCTTCTATCAAACTCTCGGCCAATCCTTTCAAGCAAACATCCCTCTCAAATACCTCCCGCAGCATATCAAACACTCATGGTCCGCCTTCCAGTTCTCAGGATTTGGTTTCGCCTCCTGTCCCGCCTCGCCCCTCGGCTTCCTTGCCTGTCAGGTCTAGCAGTCGAATCGCACCTCGTAGTGACGAGGATCAGATCATAACATCACAATCTCATCATACCCCGCCTTTGCCTCCACCCAAACATCATACACAGCACCATCAAGCTAAACTTGTCGACAATGTAGAGCGTTCATATCTCACGTCTTGCGATGACCCACAGACCATAACCCCGCATTCACTGGAGTCTATTGAGGAAAACTCACGCCCCGCATCTCCGTCAAAATGTTCACCTGCCCAATTTCCTAAGCTTAGGATCAACAGCCGGGTTGGCCAATCAAATGCAGCTGTACCCATAAGCAAATGCTTTTCTTTGCCATCAGAGACCGCGAACCCCACACGCAAGACTATCTCTGGCGAAACTTCGCACAGACCCACAAGTGGTCGTCCAGGAGGTGAGTTGTCACGTGCTTCGAGGTTATTCTCACTTCATTTGACTTTGGATCAACTCCTCACAACTCTGCTTTAGGATCATCAGCTGGCGCGGATAATTCAGTGTCTCCTTTTCCCAGTAGATCATCGGGTCCCCCACCGGTACCATCATCATCGACAAAAGTGAGGAAGCCTTCATCAGCACGTCAAAGGGAACCATCGACACAAACCTTCGAGGGTGGTATCCAACCTGGTTCAATGAAAGAATCCGATTTACCGCCACCCTTGGCACACAAATCATCTTTGTTACGTTCTCAAACCCTGAACCATCATCAAAAGTCTGCCCCACCACTTCCGCCACCTCGTAAGCGACCCGAGAGTCTACAGATTCACAATCCTCACTCTGTTCCACTTGATCAGCTCGCAAGCTTGACCACACCTGGCAAGTCGCTTGAAGCCCCGAGAGGCACGCTTCGGTCTCTTCCGTCTCGTCCAGGTGATAGCGGCTCAAAATTACTCGACGTTCCTGTTAAAACTCAAAAGATGCGAACTGTATCTCACGATCTCAGTCACAATCTACCTTCTGACTCTCCGCCAGAATTGGATGATGAGTCAGCCGAAGCAGCAAACCACCGACGTCGATCTATCTCACTTCATGGGAGACGGGGAGCTGTACCACCAACGTCAGCTGGAGCTCCCACTAACCGGACCACGATTAGTCATCACCTCAAATATATAAAAGGTATCGAGCTCTTGAAAGCAGATGGACGTGAACTAGTAAAGGATGTCAAAGAAGGATGGGAGAGCCGACATGGGAGGAGAGAAGAAAGAGTAGGATTGATGGACAAAGGAGGCGATGGTCGTGGATCACATTTGCCTCGAGTTGTCAATAAGAATTGGCTAAACGATCATCATCAAAAAAATCATTGGAGCGGTAGTAGTATAGATTTAGATGAAGCAGATCATCTTACTTCTCATCTTGATGAAACCTCAAATCCCGAAGAAGGCTGGTCTCGTCTTGATTAATTTATATGTTTGCGATTCACTGTATAGACACATCATTTTGACATTACATGTATGTTTTAACTCATCTTCCTTGATTATTTAAACGTTTTCGATCTCGTTATTCATACCCATATACTGTGAACATTTTATTTTTCTTCCATTTCATTTTTCTTACCTGTAAAACTTTCAAAAACGTCCTACGTAGATTCCGCAATCAATGAACCAACAAGATGAACAATTGTAAAATCATTGAATAGTCGAGAGATGAACAGCTTCGTCTACGTGTTTGGTAGGACCAATGCAATTTTTAACGGCTAGTGATAATTTTGCACTCGGCAATGAGGAATTGACGAAGGCGCATGTTTTCACAATGATACCTTGAGGCTTGCGTGCAGGTTTGAAAGGGTAGTGGGTTATTTGGCGCATTATCAGGTGTGAGTCAGGCAACAATTTTGGTATTGTGTAGACACATTCGTTGTTGACAAAAGAAGAGTGTATATTTACAAGTTTTGTATTAATATTTGTATTGTACAATTTAATGTTCTATGCTTTATAAGACAATCAAGACAGTCGATTGATTTGAGATCTTTTGGTACTGATTACTCCAACATCTGTTTCAAAGGTATCTTTAGATAAGAGTAACAAATCACCAAATCTCAAACCTTCTGGTGGTACATCCCTCAAATCAGTCCAATGTACATTTCCTTCTGTCATGATGGTGATATATTGTAAAACAGAGTCAGTTAAAGCAGTAGCGGGCTCGGCCTCACTCTTTGCGATTCTTCGAATCATATCAAGTACAATTGGGTGTCCGGGTGACGAAGCAAAAGCTAAATCCGAAAGTGAAAGAGGTCCTATAAAATAGAGAGACAAGAGACTTGAGTAATTGAAAGGATTTTGGGACATGAAAAGAATTGACTCAACTTGAATGCTTGCTTGCCCAATTTGTTTGAGAATCAGAAACAGTTGTTTGAACTCCTACCACAAAGCTAGGAGCTGCACGACTAGCAGCTGCGGCAGAAGGTACATGGTGAGCTCGACCACCTGCCCATCTTCCATCACCACCAGCTTCAATGTCATTCCATAGGATCCAATCCTTGTAAGGACGAAGACAATCGACATTTTCCGTTACATCTAAGTTGGTTTTATTGTTGATGGAGCGTATATCCAAAGGGTTGTTAGAAATCTACCAAGTTTTTACTGAAATTTCATTAGGCTTACAAATTCCTCCCAGGTTGAATAATGATGAAAGCCGTTCGATCATCAAATTCCGCTGTGAAGCAGCAACAGCAGACGGAGAATTCGAATGCCTGTGAGGGTTACTCATGAAAGAGCTTGGGGATCCAGTGATTCGACGTCCGATTTCCTCAAGGCCACTATGCAAAGCCGATTTTAAGGTGAACCCTGGATTCATGAGCCACCAACTTGTGTAGATCGAGCTCTTCGAAGCAGGATGATGAACTATGGGCGGTACAGGGAGCGGCGAAGAATTGGGAGATGCTCCGAAAAGCCGACCTACCCAGCTATGTGCTAGAGTGAGGTACATCTGCTGACGAGCGTTAGAGTTGGTTTCCAATCCAGAAGTTTCCATAAAATGACCAAGAGTAGCAACGTAATGAGGAAGACAAAGTGAATCAAGTGCAAAGGCTTCATCCGCTGAGATTCCTAACCTTGAACGAGGTGGTAAATGTTGTGTTTCTGGCCAACAAAGTGAATCACTTGGTGCCATAAGAATTGAATCGTTGAAAGAATAAAAATCAAGATGATATGCCATGCCGAATAAGTTGATAGTTTTATCGAACATAGTTTTTTGTAAGATACTCCAAGGTGATCTTCCTGATTCCATATGATCGCTCAAGGTCCAAAGAGTACTGGCACAAGAAAAGATGGCGACAAGCATGAGAAGTGTTCGAATGAGACTTCTCCAAACTGATGGCCGAGGCGCAACATGGGTCTTGGGAGTGAAATGACCTTCATCGCTATAAGGCGGAAGGGAAATTTTGCTGTCCATCTCAGATGGTCCGACGAAAATATGTATGGTGAATTGAAGAGGACCACGTCGAGTGGTTTATTGAAGCTGAAAGTTTTGAAAGGTGAGACCAGCTGTGAAGTCAATATACTGATGTTTGGGGAAGCAGGAGAAACTTGCAGGATGAGAGTTAGGGGTATATATGTATGCGAAGCGAAAGCAAATAGGAATACGTCCTCTTGAAAAAACAACAGGCTTGAAGCAAAAAAAACACAATGATACGCTGGGATGAACCTCATCCTGTTTGATTGAGAAAATCCATTTGAACTCGGTCAAACAAGATGATGTTAAGTCATTCGGTCTCTATAGTGACTCAGAGTCAGACTGATTCACAGCAATACGACTTGAGTGTGAAAATGCCCAGCATCGGTCAAATGGGCTTTTGAAGCATACCTTGGCCGCTCGTTACCACAGGCCAAAAGTACATACAATATGTTTTTGTCGATAATGATCTCATGAGCTGCCACGCGTTCCACACAACCGCGCCAATGGGACCGAAGCTGATTCCTCGAAGTCAAGGGATGACTGGACCAAACCCAGCGTTGGTTTGACCAAGAATTCAAAAATAACATGTACAATACGTTGTCTACCTGCTTTAGAAGAACCGTCAGCTTGATCGTCTGCCTGAACCCAGACCTTGTTCAATACAATTCTTATGTACTCCTCTGAGACTGTAAATCAAAAAAGATTCTACAACGTAACAAAAGTCTCCTGACACTGTGGAAGGCGAATCAACTTGAACAAGCTTGTTCACCCTTCTGTAGAAAAGCTGGAAGTACATCCGAACGCGTGGCGGGGGTGGTGCCATAGATGTTCATGTCATAAGCCTTTATAATGGACATGGGCACGGTAGCGTGGAAATCTCGAGGGGAAATGCGCAAAAGAGATGGGCACATAAATCCTTACGACCCTATGCATGAAGGACGAAAGGTAGGATGTGAGAGGAAAACAATCTTTTGAACCTTTCGCACTGAACTCGCAATAATCCAATGTGAGCAAATCCGTGATCCAGGATATAAAGTCTGAGACAAAACATGCAAGACTTTCTCTGCCTGCGAACAAACACTGGAGTCAAGTTTCAGATGGGTTCAATCAATTCCAAGTCATGGTTGGGCTCGACGGCATCGCGTGTTTAGAGACCAGACTACATGACTTTCGTTTACCATCAGGTAAAAAAGTCATGACAGTAGGCTCCATTTGAGCATTTCTTAAAAGATACGTGACATGATAATATTGGGCGAGCATGAGGTACCAATCGTAACGACTGCAGGACGAGTCGTCCATGTTGAAGCGTCCTATGCCGTAAGCTGCCGCTCTTCGAACTTTTGCTCTTAAAGTCACTCTTGCTGCTACTACGGGAGCTCTTTCGTTGATGGTGACAAGATACGACATACCTAGCGGATCAATCCTGGTCTCGTGAATCTTCACCAGGATTTTGGTACATCGGTTCTGCATAATGACTGCGGTTGCCACCATTGTGCTCCTGTTGGACCTCTCTATATTGGGCAGTATGCTGAGCCTCACGGTATGACCCATCATTGTGCCTGCCATATTCATCATGGCACCCTTGAGTTTGGTGGGATCGACCAGCGTATTCAGATTGGCAATTACAAAGTTTGATAGTCATCCTCGGTAGGTTCACTTGCCGGTCCACCATGCCTTCACCCTTTGTATGAGGATTCATCCAAACCACTCTGGTTGTACGAGACTCCATTGGTTCGCTCATTCTCGTGATCATTTTGCTGATCAAAACGGGATGAATCCACATGTCTGCTGCCATGGCGGCTAAAACCGCCACTCTGATCTTGTTGGTGTTTGTTGCCCTGGGTGTCCCCTGATGATCATTCCAAGTCAATCACATATCTTGTACATTGAACGGAGGTAAAAAAAGGACACTCACCATTGTAGCCTTGATTTTGTGAAGGTTGGTGGGTTTGTTGCAAACTACAAAAATCATCTTGAGAAGAATCCACTTGCCACAACCATGGTGAGCAAAACCCGCACTTTAATTCTGTTGGTACCCATTACCCTGTATGTGCCCCGAGAATTATGCCAAATTATTCACAGTTTCTTTGCAATGAGCGGGGCCAAAATTGTTGCTTGCAATCACAGCCTTGATTCCCTGAAGGGCGGTCCCTCTGTTGTGTCCTGCAAAATTTACCTTGATCACTTTGATAGGCATTAGGATTTACACCCTGTGGATTCCTCAAATAAGCATCACTCAAATTGTGTTGACCATCATGGGAGCTTCTAGCCGGGTGCAAAGTTGAGTAGGAGCTGCAAGAATTATATTCATTGCTGGCGGAGTCACCATTCATTTGATAAGAGGGCCTCTTGTGTGCTTGGTTGTCAAACTTAACTAAGTCCCTCTCTGACCTGTACTGGCCAGCTCAATCGAGGGACTTACGCGCAATGTCCGGAATTTGGCATGAAATCTGTCGGGGTGTTTCTCAAAAAACTGCCATCACCTCTACTCGCTAATCTCGCCAATGATGTATCTTAGACATCATTATGAAACCTATGCGCCGCTACCGCGCGCACATTTTTCTTATTTGCAATATCATTCTAGCTCAAACGGCTCATAAGTTATCATCAAAAAATGGTTTGGGGCCAACACGGGGCCAAAGAGGCCATCATGAATTTCAAATGCTGCGTGTCAAATACGTTTTGATCTGATGTTAAATCCTTAAGACCAAACAATAGTTTCCCTGAGTTGCCCCATCAGGCAAATGCATTACTGGTCGACGCCGAGCGCGCGCTGCCCACCAAAATAAAATGTTAGTGTGTGGGTCTTGGATATCTTTCTATTATACAATAGGCCAGAGGATTCCAAGAAGTGAAGAGAGTAATAACTCACTCAAGACACGCGAGAGGATCATGCGGGGAACGCAGGAAACGCGTCAATCTCGTTGATGTGAAGGACATCGGCCTGAGCATGATTGACAATAACATATGTCAGTTTGCAATCAGCCAAAGCATACTTCAAAGCCTTACCTCAGCTTGAATCAGTTCACGCCATACATGGTTCTCGTTCCCAGCGCGGTGCACAAGGTTACGCAGGCCCAGGAAAATCCGGCGAATGATACTGCAAGAGTACGTCCCAGTTCCACGCAAGGAACGCTGGTGTGGCCACAGTTCACGGGACTCCAGAAGACAGACCATAAAATCATAGACAGTCATATGCTGACTCTGAATGAAGCGGATGATGTTGTTACATCTGGAGATAAGGATGTTTTGCCCGGGTTGTGGTCGGAATGAAAAGGCGGTGTTGGTTGAAGGTCTGACGGCCGAGACAAACTCTTGAACGCTCATGCCTTCGCGAATGATGGCATCGGTGACGTGCGCAACACGTTCCTCAAACTCGTCTTCGCTGGACGGGACAAAGTCGATGTCTGGCAATTGGGCTGGATCCATTGGGGCGAAGGTGAGGTCGTTAGGATTTGGAAATGGAATAACAATGTTTAGAAAGTCTTTCATACCTTTATATCCGGTCCAGTGAGAGACGGAGACGCTATACCCCACGTACACCTTGTCAGCTTTGGGTGCAAGTCTCTTTGGAACAAGCCCATTGAGCCCCCGAAGGGATGGGCCGGAAGAGTAGGGTCAAACTAAGGGGGTGCACGTATCAAACCCCCCGTGATGAAAAATAATCAATCATGGTCGCTATTCCTGTGGTTTTTCAAAACCAACAGTAACAGAGGAATGATATTAAAGACACAAATAGTACGAAACACAACGGCCGCTCGGATTGATGATGGCATCAGTGGGCATCGGTTAATATGGCACCAACCCTTTGGGTCACTACTATTCCTGATTGGTCTATTTGAAACAATGCATAGCAGTCGCATGACTTACAAAATCCATGAACACATCGATAGGACGAAACAAAATAAACAGTTCAATGAGAGTCAACAAACATGGCCACTTGGTTAGCATGTAACTCTGGACACAACCAAGGAAGCGTAAACAGGCTTCGTTGTTTCCCGACGTGGACCAAGAGAGAAGAGAAAGATCTCTTCCTGTCATATGATCATAAAGGAAATTGTCCCCAAACTAGTTACAATACTTACACCCAAATCTTCGTACTTTGAACCTTTGCACCGCGCGTACAAATCTCATTGCTAGCCATGACTCCGGAAAACCTCCAAACCGCTAGCGTAGCAATTCCCAAGACGGTCACTACGACCTTGTTGATCTGTGAATACATCAATGCGTTGGGGTTTTCACCAAAAGAGTTTATGGTGACATTCTTCTCCTCAAACCATGCGGATATAGAACATCGCCGGAGAATGATGAAGGTAGGTCTCGGGGTCAAGGGCACCCGATCAATCATCAAGAACATCGGCAAGGTGACAATGTCGTCTCCCGAGGGCCGCGCTGATTGGGAGAATATAATATTAGATGAGGTAAGTGTAATCCCTTGAATTATAACTATAATCGAGCGGTGAAGTCATACCTTGCTTGTCCCCAGGCCTCAGCAATAGTCAATTCCCAAGAAGTTCAAAGGGGATATTTCCCCCAAGGCGGATTTGCCAGCTCGAATAGAATCACTTCGGACTTTTTTGGGGAGAGTGCTGAGGCACTTCGTTCAAATAAAATCAAAGACGGCATGCATTTCCTTCACACCCTAATACATCGCAAGCTGGCTCTAGGAATGAAGAAAAAAGATCTTGAGGTATATGACGATAAGGACGATGAGCCCAGTGGTCTCGAGTCGGGCCTAACTGGGAGCCCCCAACCAGGCAGCGAGCCTCACATTGAAGGGGCAGTGGACAAAGCCACTATCTTATCACTAGAGAATCTAGTCTTCGTAAAGGGTACTCTGGCGTCCCTGGCCGCCCACAAGCTGGAGACGGTGAGCCTGAGTCCCACCATCTCCTGATGTTCAATGGCTAACGGATGACCTACTTGCAGCTGCCAACCATGATTTGCTCGATGATTGCAGTGACATGCAACCGCCGCATCAACGCCATTCCGCTCGCAAATGGACTGATGGCTTTGGCAGCCGGGGTGACGTGTTGTGTGAATGAATGGTTGCACGCCTTTGGGATGACCACCTCTCGTGCCACTGTTTTGCAAGCAATGGACCGACTCCGAGTCCTACAAGAGGAGAGAATGAAGGACCTGTTCAAAATGAACAGGAAGATCATGCCCATATTATGTTTTGATAATATAGACATTCACCTCCGTATTCACAACACCCGGGTCGACACCTCGTCTCGTCTTTTCCACGGCACATGGGGCTTTTTCAACGTCATCCGAGATTCACTGCAAGACAAGTGTACTGAAGACGCCGCTAACCTATCGACGTTCTTAGACTCCATGACCTCGGCAAATCGCAATCCCGTGGAAATCAGCCTTTTTGTTCCAGGGCCTAACGAGGTGTCGCACTGGGTTTCAGTGATCAAATCACAACTTGCCAAGGCTCTGAAAGAACACCTACCTCATATACCGCGTGCCCCCGAGCCCCATTTGCTACCTGCAACGCTGAAGACTTTCCCACCTCCAATCGATCCAATTGAAATGCACCAAGCGAACATTCATTTCCTTCGAATGATGGACGCCCCGGACAGTTCCGCCGATGGTGTCTCACGCGTGTTAGATGCGGTGGTTAGTCAGATTGGTATACAAAAAGAAACTTATGCCGAAAAACTATTGATAGCTGGGGGTGATGTTGGGTCCAACCAACTCTTGGAGAGTCTCCGGGTCAAACGTTTTCCACCCGTCAAGTCTGTCGAGGGAATCGAGTGGGTACTATCAGTATTCGGGGGCGCCCACACGACGTGGAATTTTGCCAAGGCTATATGGTCACTTCACTGGGGTAATTCAGCAGACGGTGAAGATTCGGGAGTGTGGAGGTCGACCTTCGCCATTGGTGGGGATTACAAGAAACCGCCCGCATCTCAAGACTTTAATAGTATCATGAGAAGTTTGCAAATGATTCACAAAGCTAACCTAGTGTTCATAATTAAGTCAGCATCTTTTTCATTTGCAATTTGTTATCGACGTCATAAACTTATCTTCGACAGCACCCTTCCTCAGGCAGGTTACCAATAGCGAGAAGACACTCGACCTGACCAAGCAGGCTGACTGCAATGAGCTTTTGGACATTATCTGGTCTCGATATTTTGACCGGTCTGCCCTGGATAATGCCAGAGAAAGCCCAAACCACACAAACTTCAACTTCCTGATGCGGCTTCGAGATTTTGCCACCGTCGTTGAGGCACACGATGCCACGCGTGCCGGCGACATTGGCCGTCTGATGGCCATGTGGAAGAGGTGGTCTGTGATGGCTCAAGGCCTTCAAGGTCTATCCCACTACGCGAGACACATTCCGCGTATAGTTATGCTCTTGGAGCAAGACTTACCGGTGAGCCTAGCTCATGTAATCAAACACAGTCTTCTGCTACCATCAAACGAACGCGAAGGCCATTGGATGGCAATAGACGAGTTCCTTGAAGTTTACATCTTCTGGCTTAAACACATGTACAATAACACGGTGAGTGTCCTTTCTGCGCGATTTGACCGAGGTCTTTCAATGTTAATGTTGAGTTCTGTAATACTTGTCCTAATGTAGGGCCATGGGACGGACATCGAACGGCTCACATATAGATTTTCCAACAACATTCCTTTGGTAAGAAATCAATATCCTTCATTGCATGTAGAATACGACACGTTCCTCATCTTATGTGTGTTAATTGTGTTAATAGCTACGTAAGCTACTTCAGCTCCTCAAAACTCGCTCCGGCCAGAGCATTATATACCAGCCCAACCTTCATTCCATAACGGATACATCCATGCAAGCATTTCTCAAATATGCAGAAGACCATTTGGCCAATCCCACGACGGGCCGTCCTCCTGCACAAGTCGTGAACGTGTGGCGAATTGGTTTGCGCAACATGATCAAGTTGAACAATGCTGACTCAGCCGCGGGTCGATCTTCGAGATATCGGTGGGGGGCATCAAACGTGCTGTCTTCGTGGGAGAACCCGGATGGCCATGCTGAGGAGTAACTATCTAGTCACATGTGAAGCCAGAGGTGGTGGCAAGTTGAATTAAATTGTGAAAAAATCAATGACACCGATTGAGGCTATGACTCACCTGCTCACAGGCCCTCCTTTTTGGACCCACCGGTTCTACTCGAGCTTGCACAGGCTGAGAGTTAGAGGATGAGTACCTGACATCGACCGGAAGTCCCTTGTTGCGCGCTGTAACCTGTTTCTTGGCCTGTTCCAGTTGTGATCGTGCCTCTAATTTAGCCAGCGCGGCTAAGTCTCGTGCGTCTTTCTGAGCCTTCTTTGCTGCGTCGGCTGCCTGTTTTGCCAACAGGGCCCCCTCCACGGACAGTGGAGGTTTCTGAGGTCCGCACGTACGACTTTGGGCGAGCCTCCGTTGCTTTGCCGCTGCAAAAGTTGAAACCGTATTGAAGTTGGATTTCCATTTGGTGATAGCACCAAATAAACACTCAAATTGTCCGTGAATGACTTCGCTAGCAAGTACTACCGACAAATTGCTGGGCTTTTGGAAGACGTCAACGTTTTTGGCCATATCCCAAGCTAGATCTCGTCCAAAATAGTCTGTTGGGCCTAGGTTGGACTGCCCATCGAACAAATCAAAATAGAATTTATGGAAAGCTACCTCCAAATGTGTGACTAAGGCTTCCAGGGTCGTCGATTCCAGAATGGGATCGTCGACGCCACAATACATGGCCACTGGCCTGGTATTACACGTCGCTTCCGGAGGGGGCTGAGGGAGGCTCTTGATGAGGTCGAGGAGGTCATCCGAGTCCATGGCCATTGCGTCATTGAAGTTCTGAGCCGTGAACGCTTGCTGGGCCACCCAGACAGCTTCAGCTTGGGCCGGCTCGCAATTCGAGCAATCGCACACGGGCATGCCCGCCTGTTGTTCACGATGAGTTTCCTCCTTCACAGACCAATGATCTGCATTGAGCGGGATAAAACCATGGCTGAAAATTGTGGTAAGCACATTGATATCATCCTAGTGAAAACAGAGGTGTATTAAACTTACTGTAGATCGACCGCGAGAGCAACTCGCAAACATACGGGTGTAATACCCAAGGCGTCCATACGATCATCGTCCGACATCGAGGTTGGGGTGGTAAACTCAGCAATGGAGTTCTTGCCATTGGTTCGCTTGTTTTCTACTAAAAGCACCCCCAATCCTCGGCGACCATCTCTTCCGCAACGGCCTGTCATTTGTATGAAATGACAAGGGTCCTGTCGGCCGACCACAATTACGCGTTGTACTTGGTGCCAATTCTGGCCTAAACCGAGGGCGAGCATGCAACACAAGACCTTGAGAGTTCCGACGACAAAACTGGCCACTGCGTCCTGTTTGGTCTCAGGCCCCGTGGACGCATGGTAACGGCGAGCGAATTGGGCAAAAGGATTGGCAGTTTCATTGGGCTGACCTCGGCTAGTATTAAGGATGTCCAAGTATTCCAATGTCGCATTCTGTGTACCGCAGTAGATCAACGTAGGGGGTATCGACGTGGTGGGAACAACGGTGTGATGGGCAAACAGGCCTCGCAGTGCTGCCTTCAGTGGCCGCTTGAACGTGCGGCGAACCAAACGTATTTCGGGACGAGTAAGTTCCGCGCGCACAAATTGTATGTTCATCATGTCGAGCTTGAGGTTCGCCAGAATCGCCAGAATTGCCTGGGGTGTACAGGTGGCAGACATTAAGATCAGAGGGACCTGCACCGTGGACAGGAAGCGGCGAGCGAGGTCCCCATACGACGGGCGGAAAACACCAGTGTCCTGAACTCGAGTATGACTGGCCAGGCGTTTGGCTTGGCCACTCTCGACGAGGCCCCAGGTATAAACCATGTGGGCTTCATCGACTACACTAAGCACTAGGCGAGTCTGAAATCGGCGGTCAAACACGGGACTCGTCAAAGCCAACTCGGGACTCTGGTATCATCAGCGCATGTTACATCAGTAAGCATCTAGCACTTGACCACTACTGACATGTATGGAATGTTCAACATACAACATATACAAAATTGAATTTGCCCTCCAAAATCGCATCGCAGGCCGACTGCGTGCAGGTTTCCGCGGTCAAGTTGATCGCGTTCAGGTTGACTAAGCTTTTTTCGCTGACCTGCATCCAAAAAGTGATGCACTGCACTGTCAGAGATTTGACTTGGGAACTGCAGCGCTCAGGTAGGATCATCCGGACCTGGTCGTCACCAAGGGCGTCCAATGGATTGATACATAATATAATCGGTGCATACGCGTCGTCGAACAATCTGAAGAACAATTCGGGGACCTGGCTTTTGCCAAATCCGGTTCCGGCCAACAAGAACGTGGTTCTGCCGTTCAGGAGATGAATGACGGCGTCGATCTGTTGCTTCCGAGCGGGGTATCCGTACGTTTCTTCGAAAAGCGCACCCACCACCCTTGCCTGAAGTTCTTCAGTCACGTTGAGCACCTGAGTTCGCAGTTTGGGTTTGGCAGACATTGAGCTTAGATGGCGAGCATCACGGGTTTGCTTGATCAGTGCTTCGCCAGCGGCGGGAATGCTTCGTCGTAACATTCAAGGTGTGGGATGTAGTGAATCGAAGAGATGGTAAATTGAATAATGAGGTGTGGTAGTTCGTGGTGGTGTGACAGCGCGTGATAATCTCAAAGACTTAGAGATATATCCTCCATCTCCACCAAACTGCAGTTTGGTGGATGTCTTCGTTAGCCTTTTTGTTTTGTTTTGTCGACGATTCTGAAGTTCTGTCCGCAAATCAAGTGTTTTGGTTAGTGATGTTGAGTTTTGGGCCGCACAGTCGTGTCTTGGCCGTGTTTGGCCCCAAACCATTTTTTGATGATAACTTATGAGCCGTTTGAGCTAGAATGATATTGCAAATAAGAAAAATGTGCGCGCGGTAGCGGCGCATAGGTTTCATAATGATGTCTAAGATACATCATTGGCGAGATTAGCGAGTAGAGGTGATGGCAGTTTTTTGAGAAACACCCCAACAGATTTCATGCCAAATTCCGGACATTGCGCGTAAGTCCCTCGATTGAGCTGGCCAGTACAGGTCAGAGAGGGACTTAGTTAAGTTTGCTTGGTTGTGTCACTGTGAACAAGACTGATTTGTGTTGTACAAAGTTTGATTTTGCCCAAACTTAACTAAGTCCCAGTCTGGACCTAACCACCAACTCCAGAGAGGGACTTACACCTAAAGTCAATTTTTTGGTGTGAGATCTGTCGGGGCTTTGCACCAAAAAATGGTGGCCTTATAAAACTTTTTTTTGTCATTTTAGCTTGCCTTCACATTCATTACAAAAAATATGCGCCTTGAATCTGTCTACATCCTCTAACTCTGGGCTTATTGATATGTTGAGCGGCTCCAAAGATATCTAGAGAAGTTGGTATTTTAATGTCAGACCAAATTTCAAACTTCAGACACGGAGCAGTCCAAATTACTGTAAATTTCACCTTTGGGCCCTAAACAAACTTTATATTTATCTACACAACCAATCAAGATAACAAGAAAAAATGAGTACGAGGTTGTAGAGGGAGTCCAGGTGCACAATCTTCATAATAAATGTGGAGGAAAGTTGAAATTACAAAAAAAAGTTTTATAAGGCGGCCAGTTTTTGGTGCAAAGCCCCGACAGATCTCACGCCAAAAAATTGACTTTAGGCGTAAGTCCCTCTCTGGAGTTGGTGGTTAGGTCCAGACTGGGACTTAGTTAAGTTTGGATTTTGCCCAATGGAAGCGTGTGTGTGAACATTTGATGCCCCGCTGGAGCATATGTAGGGGTATGACCCGGCCCCAAAGCTGCAGGGCCGGACACGGGTCCGGGCCAGACCCGGCCTCGGCCACGGCACCCTCAAGGATGCTGCCGGGCAGCGCCGGGCAGGCCCTGGCTCGGGCCAGCCCTTTTTAAGCCTGTTTGAGAGCTTAGGGCCGATGCTTGATGATGTTGATTTTTCCAGAAAACTGCCTCAACAAGCCTTCAGCAATGCCTCCACAGATTTTTTTTTGACAGCCCCGGCCCCGAGTAGCCTTGGAGCGGGGCCTTTCTCACTATGGCCAGGCTAGACTTTAGGCCCCGGGCTTGGCCTCAACCTCGCCCAGAAAACTCTCGGGCAGACTCGGCCGGCCAGGGCTAGGGCCAGGTCATAGCCCTAAGCATATGTGAGGGTCAGAACCATCTTTGGTAGTTTTCCTTTGATTTCAATGATTGCAAACACAATCCCGGTTTGTGTAGGGGACTTGTATGTTAATTACATCAATTGCTCATTATATCTTTTTCTCACTTTTATATGTCCTCTGATAAACTTAGGTACTTTACTATTGATTTTTATTTCATTCCTAATGTTTATTCTTAACTTGTGTTATTGTCTTTCTATCTTGGTTTCTTTTCTTATATGTTTTTGTGTTATTTGCCTAAGTCTGCATACTTGTGGTTCAAGAGAAGTTGTGCTCACTTTTAGCACAAATCATTCAGGTATCTGTGTCTCAAGCCATTTACAGCTCCATGCATTTACACTTGATTTGACAGTATGTTTCACAATGATCACAGATATATTTCCAGCTGGGTTGTTGAGTATGTTAGAGAGATGACATTTGGCAAGGACTGAATGGATGGGGTAAGATGCACCAGGGTCATTAAACACAGTACATTGATCTTCTCCACTAATGAAAGCCCAACTTCCTTCTCCTATGGAAGTGCTAGCTTGCATCAGGATGGGTCTAACATAGGGGTCAATGGTGTTCATGATGTACTTGGTGAGCACCAAAGATATATTTTCAAGGAGTTCACCCAAACCAGGAACACCCTTGATGAGCTCTTCAATGCCTGTATGTGAAAAGTGGATCAGCTGAATGAATTAAAACTGACATCTAAACCTGGATGGACTCATGCCACATCAACTTATTGCATATCACAAAGATCTCCCACAATTGCTTTTGCAGCCGTTCAGGGGAAATCTGGTCAATATGGCCCTACATTAGTACCATGTGAGGAAGACAATGACATCAGTGCAACAGCAGTGGTATTGATCAAAAGCTAATGGTAAAACCACATCAATGTTGAAAGCCTTCTTCTTTTGATTAATCTGATCTGAATTTTTGTTCAGAGTGGTGTCACCATTGCTACCACTGAGGGGCAATTTACTCAAAATCAACTTGATGAATTCAAATATCCTTTCACCCAATTGTTGCTTTTGACTCTGAGCTTCATCTATCTGAGCAGTCCAATTATTAATTGACACTGACAACAATTTGTTGCTTGCCTCCCCAAGCATTGAAAAACAAAAATTAGCTCCTGAAAAATTAGCAGGGAGAAGTGGAGGGACTGGTCTATCCTGGCTGTTCAGTTAAAATGTGATGGAATGTGTCAAACATTCTAGATTGCTTAAGTGCCAAGGCAGAACAACCATTGTACCTAACATGCTTTCCATGTGCACAAAGGCTTGCTTGTGGCCAAGTTTTTGAAGTGCCAACTCACACCAACTGCCTGCAAGAATGACCATCAGTAAGTGAAGTAAAATGTAATATAGCCACATCTGAAAGTACCAATGTGACACCTACTGTGTGCAGAGCAGTTTTCCAGAGTGTTTAATATGGTCCCAGTAGTCAAAAGCTTTCATGTTCCATGTCCTAGCTCTTTTCCATGTGAGCATCCCTTCCAATTTGGATGCATCTCTGGAAAGTTTGTCTGATGCATTTAGTTGATGTGTCAAATTCCTTTTGATCCAATGCAATGAACTGCTTCATGCCATTGTGTTCATCAATTTGAAGTTCCCGGTCCTTGTCAACTTGTGGTCAAAGCTGACAGTTGTAACTTTGAGGAGCTTTGCCTTCCCCATACCCTTTGTGATTCTGATGACAAGAATCATAAGTAAAGTAGGTGGAAAATTGACAAAAGGGTGCAACTTCCATCAATATGTTTGGTAATACTCAATCTGTCCTTGGTCACCTGAAATTCTTTTCTGGCATATCCTGTGCAAGTGACTGCAGTGAGTGTGTATTGATCAAGTTGGATGCTAACTTGGTCAACCTGACTTACCAAAAGTTAGGAAGCCCATTGTCATGATAATACATATCACCAGTGATTCAGCTGTCATGACCTCAAACCCAGCAATATTGCACACCTGGGACAAGTACCTCAACCAGTCTATGTGCAAGGCAGATATTGGAACAATATATGATCTGGAAGTGTCTAAGATACTACTCCTATAATCACTCTGAATATCAAAGTAGCAACTTCCAAAATATAACCTCATGGTCCTATGACCAGTTCTTCATTGAGATGAAAACTAAAGCTCCAAAGCGGAAATGACTGACCAGTCTCAGGTGTGACAAATATTTTGATAAGGTCTTCCTCTGTCCAATTACAAGACATTATTAAAAGAATTCCTCCAGGTTTTGCTAACAAGCTATAACTAGTGAGTACTCAAATAAATTCAACAGTGTAGTCTTTTACTTACCAGACTAATATCTACAAACTTATTTTCATTAGGCTCGAATTTATCTTGGAAAACAAGTAAAGTTGTTCTCTATAACAAATCCTCAACTTATAAAACATGCAATCAGTAAGTACATTCAGTCTTAGATACTTGTGAAGCGTAGCTTTTTAAGACTTAGGCTGATACAAGGCATATGGGCTGGAATCTGTTCATCACCCTTTGCAGCATACCTTTGTGGCCAAATCTACCTTTCTGCACTTGTATCATCAGAAAACCACCACTCATCTTGTACATCAACTGCAAATTCTCCATTGGTCTCAATCTCATATCATAAAATCCTTTTCCCAACTTTGTTAGTGGTCAAGAATGACAATGAGGTATGGTGAATAGGAAAAAGGTTGGTATGTCTTAACTCCAATTGAGCAGGGTGGCTGCTTTGTAAAAGATATCATTGTCACACTTTCTTCTTTGTGGAAGCCTACTGTTTATACATCTGAGAAAACACACTCAGTTATTCTTGGTTGCCAAATTATTACAAAAATTCCTGGATGGTGTAGTCAAATTAGTTGCAGGTGCCATAATGTTGACATATAAATGACACTACATATGAGACTTGTTCAAGTGAGTAGTGAGAGATGATGAATCTGTGCTCAGCTAGAACATTCCACAGAACCATCCATAAGTGCCCATCTATATGGAATTGTGTGTATGTATGAAGACCTTCTGTCTTGCTGACACGCCTACCGCCTGTCGCACTGTGCGGGCGCATGTTTGTGAAGGTGCCGGGAGGGCTTCCGCCGCGAACCAAGGGTGAGGTCGGACTTCGGCTCACTTGCCGGTACCAATCGTGATATGTCATAATCCGGCTTTCACGAGAGTTGAAACGAATTGCCATATGCAGCTTGCTGCTTTGTGCCAAACCCATATGACGTTCGCCTTCCTTTCAAGTTGCGAAAGAGAAAGTCGTCCGATGTTGATATTAACCTGTACCGGAATAGGGACATCGATGATCGCTCGCATAAGCTGTAAGTTCCTTAATCGTCAAAAGGAGGAAGCCGCCGAGTCATACCATTTAAAGTTGTGTCTAGTCATCATAGACCAAAGCTCTTTCATCCTCTCCTAACTAAATACTCACCTCGCGATCTTACCTCTAGAGTCCAATTTACAATACCTCATTCGACATGTCTGAAAATTCACAAAAAACTGACCGAACCGATGCCGACATACTGAAGGATGAAGTGCTATGGGAGGGTCTCGTACCAATTCCACAGGCTGACATTGAGCGACCTATGGTTCCAATTGCGTATTCCCCAGAATGTAAGGTTTGCCTAGCTTCAACGGCAATCAGATGTGCAAGCTGATCAAAACTCATTCATGTGTGACATAAGATCGGATGGCAATGGATCTCTTTAGGGCAATACTGAAAGCCAACGAGTTATCAGAGCGTGCACTTGAGCTCACTCGAATAATCCTCAAATTCAATCCTTCTCACTATCCTGTCTGGTGGGTCGAAGATGCTTGCCGTACCCCGCCTTGTCGATGTGGATTTTCTGTTCGAGTCATCTGACTGCTCTTTGACAAATGTTGTAGGACATATCGAGGGCAAGTCATTGTTCACTTTCATCGACTTGACCCCTCTCAAGGCCACATCAAATCCGAATTGAAAATGCTCGAAGAAAAGATCAAAACTATGCTCAAAAGCTACCAAGTTTGGTATGTCGCCCTGATACATCACTATCCAAGTATCGAGCTAACTTCCCTTTCCACCTTAGGCAACACCGCCGAAATTTGATTCAAGCCTTGCAGGACCCAAGTGGAGAGATGGCATTTGTCAAACAAGCTTTGGATATTGATGCCAAAAATTACAATACATGGGCATAGTAAGCTTTCAAAGTTTTCAGTACCTCAACTCGAAGGGAGCTCATTTTCTCTCTCTATGTCTTTGCATTTCAGTCGTCAATGGGTCTTGTGCGAGTTTAATTTACCCGAGTTATGGGCAGGTGAATTGAGCTTCATTGAAGGTGAGTAATCTCACATACTCATCGAGCAGTTCGAGTTATAGACTGATCAGACCGATCTATCGCTAGGACTCCTCACAAGTGACATTCGCAATAACTCGGCCTGGAACCATCGATTCTTCATCCAATTTGAAACCACTAAATTGCATAATCCGAATGCGGACATCAAAACCCTGGCCGCGACAGAGGTGGAGTGGACAAAGAGCCAGATCTACAAGGCCCCCAATAACCTAAGCGCGTGGAATTACTTAAGAGGGTGAGTTCTAACCATCATAGTGTACTATTATGGGGCTGACGAATTTTCCCAATGATTTACCATCTTAATGCATTTAGCGTTTTGAAAATTGGACAAATTCCGTTTAGTTCGGTAGACGACTTTGTCGTACCATTGACAAAATCGAGTGCGGTCTTGAGCCTCGAGATCGGTTGGCCCACCGAGTTGAATCCACAATCTGACCTGCCAGTCGTGAATGCAGTGGAGTTTCTTGCCGATAGCCTTGCCCTCCAAGCCAAGTTGACGACTGAAACTTCTGATCAGGCTTCTTCCAAGGCGTCTGAATCTGCAGCGGTGCGCGACTGATCTAGATTTCTGTTGATGACATCCGTTTCCACACCTTGCTTCCTTTCCAAAGCTGATCTTGACCAGATTTTTTTTCTCATGGCTTCGTAGCTCTATGCACTCCTCTCCGACAAACTAGATCCAATTCGACACAGGTTCTGGTCTCACAAATCAAATATGGTCACAAGGCTTGCCCAAGCCTCCTGAATTCCGAGACCAGTGATTCTTGTGATCCTTGGGTAAAACTGTCTTTGGAAGGTATCAATGAGATACTCAGCCTATCGGTTGAAGTGTTGTTGATGGCTTGTACTGCCCATCTCTATGACTTTGTAATTGTAATCGGACAGGTGATTGTGCATATCTGCAAAGCTAAAAGCTTCCTGACACGTTTGGAGTTTTGTCGTCTGAAAATTTCCTCCTAGTTGAAACTGCTGTGTTTTTGTACAACTAGGTCTTGGCTCTGTATGATTGAGAAAACCTGACTCTGATAGATCAATTGCTGCAAGATGATGATGACGTCACTGGGCTGCCAAGAGTTGACTACATACATACACACTGTCTTTCTCAGCTATCCGTGTGGGCAACCTGACAATGTCACAGGAGTTGTCTTGGGAGTAGCCGTCAAAGGATTAAACGCCATAATTCTTTGTCTGTGTGATGCACCCGAAGTAAAATCTGAGAGCCCAAAACTAGATTAAACCTGGTTTTGGACACAATTCAACAATGTCTTGCGGGAGACCTGTCACTTTCAATCGGATTTAACAGGTTTTATACTTTTGTATTAAATCTCGGTGCAACACGAATTTGTATTTTTATGCCTTTTATTACTTTTGCTAAAAAGCTTGGCCCGATCGAGAAAAAATAAAAAATAAATAGACCCGAATTTCGCCGCAGCAGTCACAACGCAGCAGAGAGAAAAGTGGGTGCCTTCCAATCCATTCCATCCGTTTGATTCCTCCGCTGACGCCAAAAAATTTTCGTCAAATCCCAGTCGATCACTTTGTTTTCCTCACCAAACCACACTCAGTCCCTTGTCGCTTCTCGCATCCTGGAAATGTGTCTCTCCACTGTGGACAATTGATTGATGGTCTGTGTAAGAAAAAAGGTACATTTTTTTGCTTCAATTCCTCCCATTTGTCTCTTCAGTGCATTCCATTCAACCTACTGATAATCTCCAATATCCTTTCTAGGCATCCTTCTCCCATCCTTACCACCATACTGTCCCAAAGGTATCGATTTTGGAGTCAATGTGTTGAAGTTTGATGTTCAGAGATCACATGTTTTAGTCACTATGTAGGTCAAATCCGGTCCAACGGATCATTTGTTATGTGAAGCTTTTCACACTGTTCCTCCTATGTCGATAACGAGCATTTGTTAACACATGAAATTAAGGATTGATGTTGAAGCTTTTATGATCCTTACGACTACTCTGCTAATCTGAGAAAAAGGCCAAGTTGAATGAGATGTATCTTACATATCTTCAACCTGTCCAGTGCCATGCTCTGCTGCATAACAAAAGTCTGAGATTGAATATCTTATGAAAGATATTCAAAATGTGTGTCAGTTTTCAAGGTGATTGAGATCATCAAAATGATTGATTGGTCATGAACAATATCAAAACCAGTCAATTCCCAATTGATTCTCCTATGACTCATGAGACAATCCGATGATCATGAGTTGAGAGCAATCTCAAATATCTTATGAGGACGATGACAAGTAAGATATTATTGGGTTTGAAGTCATCCAAACCTACTCAAATTGTCTATGATCCTATGAACAAGATGGACAATGATCTCTGCTTTTGATTGGTTTTTACCGATCAAAAATCAAGTGGTTTGATCGATAAAAACCGATTGAGCTTCCTGTGTTCCTATGGGAGAGATTGTGAACAATCTCAACTCTCTGGTGTAATCTAGAGACTCATTTTTTTGAACAAGATCAAAATTGATCGATTCGCTCGTGATCCTATGAAGAAGAGTAAAAGGATTTCAATTTTTACACCAATCTTATCTAGGATTCATTGATTCTAATTCCTATACAATGACAATCTTCTCTAACTACAGTTCTAAACTTCAACACATTGACTCCAAAATCGATACCTTTGGGACAGTATGGTGGTAAGGATGGGAGAAGGATGCCTAGAAAGGATATTGGAGATTATCAGTAGGTTGAATGGAATGCACTGAAGAGACAAATGGGAGGAATTGAAGCAAAAAAATGTACCTTTTTTCTTACACAGACCATCAATCAATTGTCCACAGTGGAGAGACACATTTCCAGGATGCGAGAAGCAACAAGGGACTGAGTTGAGTTTGGTGAGGAAAACGAAGTGATTGACTGGGATTGGACGAAAAATTTTTGGCATCAGCGGAGGAATCAAACGGATGGAATGGATTGGAAGGCACCCACTTTTCTCTCTGCTGCGTTGTGACTGCTGCGGCGAAATTCGGGTCTATTTATTTTTTATTTTTTCTCGATCGGGCCAAGCTTTTTAGCAAAGGTAATATATATTTAGTAGCTGCTACACCACGAAGACGCTTTTGAGCGGAAGGACGTCGGGATTGTCCGAGATCATATGCTTCCGTCGGCACCCCCGTTTGGGCTATCCTCTGGATGTCAGTGCGTGCGGACGTCCGCAGCACACACTCAGGATGCCAGGCTGGGCCTACATTTAAATAAGAACACCCTTGGAAGCCCGTGGGATGTCTCGAATTTTGATTCCGACCCAGGCTCCTTGGATCAGTTTTGTCAGGACTCAGGATATCCCTTCCCCTGCAAAAAATCCTGACGTCCCTAGGACATCAGCATGTCCTTGTGGTGTAGACTGTCTACACCTGTCTACACCCCTGCGTGGACTGAATTCTTATTGAGCATTTATTGAACTTGGCATTACTTGGCTAAAAGCAATCAAATACTGTAAGGAGATCTTTGCTGCCACAGCAGATCATTGTTTTGTCCGAAGTTATCCTGATGGACCAATTTCATTGGTTCTGAGTTATACTTAGTCTGGGTGTTTGGTTATCCTTGCACCTATAGCCATATGTGTATCTTTAGTTTTTTCTTGAGCATTGAGGCTTTAGCTGATTACTAAAACAAGTGATACACAAAGTTGTACAGTGGGACAGATGGATGGCTGTGTAAATTGGGATGTCATGAGTTTCTATGTAGATCAGTATACACAGCATATTTGTTTTCAGGCACAAGATTGTGGACTCAGTGAAGCCTTGATAAGACTCTCTTTGAAACACTGAAGATTGAATGGAGTAGTGTAGTGTAAGAGTTTGATAATGGTTGAATTACTCAATTAGATATTTTGTTTTTGAAGTACAAAACTTGAAGATGGGTGCACATATGACTCATTGATTGAGTCCTCAGCTTTGATGGCTGAGCCTGGATTGTATGGTTTCATGGAGGTTGTGTTTGAGGTCATGCAATGGTTTTGTAACCATGATGTACTGTTTCATGATAGATGCACAGTAGGGTGTTAAAGATTTCCAAGATGAGGACAGTCCCATCTCTGAGACTGGATGACCATAAATCAATGCACCACCCACTGTCCTAGTACTACTAGTACCCAACTGGAATGCACCTACAGCTAAAGAGACACATGGACTTTGATAATGCAGAATATTGGGAGTGTTTATGGGTTGCTGCATGATCTGTGACTCTGAGTGGTATATTTGGGCAAGTCAAGTCATTGTGTGGACCTTCTCATTGTTGCCTCACTTGTCTGGCACCTGATTAGAGGAGATGTAGAGTAAACCATTTCATCTTCATATTGAGATTTGAGCAAATGGCAGAATTTTGTGCAATTCTGCTTTGATATTGCTCCTATATTCATGTTGAGCAAATCAAATCTGAACACTGCACTTTCCTAAACCTGGATGGGGTTCCTGAGGAACAGAGCATTTGAGAGAGGTATGTTGAACTTGTATGGGACTGAAACATTTCTTAGCCCTGGTGTTGAATCTTAGGTCCACCTACCCTCTGGACCCAAATTCAGGGACCCCTTGGATTCTTTGTGGCTCTCCTTGTGAGATAATTTGATTGCGGACCTTCTAAACAACATGATACATAATTCAAGTGAAAAAGTATGTAGTAGCAATCAGAACAACTTTTCCTAAAGGTCTTTACAAGGGAAGTTACCTCGTGACTTGAAGTTAAGCTCTTGAGTGGCAATAAGTAACCAATCTCTCTGGGGTGGTGTCTGTGTCTACCAATTTGAATTTCTCACGATGTCCGGTTGACTTAAGGATATGTGTAAATTGAATGAATAAGACTTAATTAAATCTTCAGAGAGTTTAAGGTTTTGAAGTTTGAGTTTGAATTAGATTTTAGATGTTTTGATATAGTTTAATGTAATCTGATCCTTATTAAATCAGTTTCTTCTTATCTGATTTTGGTTAATTTCAACTTCAGTTCATCATCATCAGTCAATCAATCAAACTACTCAAACTAAATATCCTTATTATTAACATTCGATAACCTCTTCAACAACTTCTCATCATTTCCTCTTCTTGACCGAACTCTCAGAGGAGCCACAGCCAAGGTAATCAAGAAGGATGCTTTCTCCTATTGACTTTGGATCATTTCTCAATTCGGATCCTTCATCAACTTCTTCATCTCATTCTTCCATCGATCCTTCTTCATCTTTCTACACCGGTCAGTCATCACATTCTTCATTCTCTTCACTCATCTGTCTCTCTACTCACCACTCATTCGTCTCTGTGACCCTATCTTTTATCATTCATCAGCAGCATTACACTCTCAAGCTCAATCCTATCCACCTAGTCGACCATGCTCAGATCAATCGATATCATTCAACTCTAGTCACTCTCATTCACCAATCAATCAATCACGTAAACCGCCACCTTCCTCCGCCTCAAGATCTCATGACAACTCTTATCAATATGGTCTCAATCCTCAACTCTTCTCACTTCCATCTCACTCCTTGCACTTCGTCATGCCAAGCTTTGCTCACGGTGGTCCTGCTCAAGCTTATTCAAATGGTCCAGCCTTCGCGGAACCAACTGTCTTTCGCCATCCATCTCGCATCAGGACTTCCCCTCCACAGCAATTCACAAACCAGTCTCACGCCAACATCCTTCCATCTGAAATCGCGAACCCTCCGCGACCTCAACAATCGCCCCGATCTATCACTCATCTTCCACCTCTTAAACGAAAAAGTTCTTTCCAACTCGATCCAAGCAAGCCGGTCTACAGTCTCTATGGTCATTCAGTTCAATGCATCAATCCCGACTTGAGTCCATTCCCATCAGAAATCTCTTCTTCTTCTTCGCCACCAGATGAATATGAAAGCCGGTCAGAGAGCCCTTTCGACGCTAGTCGGATCGGCCTAGACTTGCCCATCAATTGCAACTACCCAAACATATACTCAAGCTCCGGTTTTGATCTCATGCGTGCTCTTGCTTATGTTGTCAACCGTCCTAACCCGCAAATTGACATTGGGGCTGTTGACACGTCTACCGCTCTTGTAATTGTCGATGCTAGGAAAAAGGACCTACCAATTGTCTTTGCTTCTGCCAGCTTCAGCACACTCACTGGCTACGAGAATTACGAAATCGTGGGCCAGAATTGCAGGTCCGAAACTACTCTTTCTCATACGCCACACCTAAAGCTAACGCAGAATTTTATCAATCTAGGTTCTTACAATCCCCTCGATCTGCGGGACTCGCAAAGAAGGGATCCAAGCGAAAGCATTCGGACTCAACCGCGGTTTACCACATGAAAGCTCATATCATGGCTGGCAAAGAGAGTCAATCGTCAATCATCAACTATCGCAAAAATGGACAACCCTTCGTCAATCTCGTCACGGTGATTCCGATTCAATGGGGTTCTGATGAAGTTACTTATTACATCGGATTCCAGGTGGATCTAATACAGCAGCCAAGTCAGTCTTTCTCAGTCTACTTCCCTTTTATGTGGCTCAGCTAAACAGATTCATTTTATCCTATATCCCACCATTCTCTTGATCAATTCACCTTCGCCATTACATTTCCACGTACTAAAACAGATGCTATCATGGCTAACAAGGGCAACGGAACCTATATGGCGCACTCTTTCACTGGTGAAGCTGAACGCCCCCCGGCATCGATTCCAGAGTCCGACAAAATCCAAGAAATCCGAGAAATTCGACCTCTTCCTGCTCCACCTCTCCCTCCTCAACCTACAGGGACCGTTATCCAAAATCCAGCTCCCGTCATCAGCCGGCGTGTGTCAGCTCTACCGGATACTCGGTCTCTCAAATCAGATTTCAAAACTGTTTTATACCAAGTGAGTTCGTGGAAGACGCGCAACAAGTATGGGTTTGAGAAAGTGGCTGTTCTAATTCATTTTCATTGCACAGAACCACGATGTTGTCATGGTGGTATCATTGAAAGGTACCCTGTTTTATGTCTCGTCCGCATGTCGAAAAATGCTTGAGTATGAAGAGGAAGATTTGGTGAATCAGAACATTTCATCGTTTTGTCACTCTGGTGATCTCACCGGTGTACTCCGACAACTGAAGGAGGTCGGTAACACGGCCCACACACCACTTGATTTAATCTATCGAGCGGTGACAAAAAGTAAACGCATCTTTTGGATGGAGGCACAAGGTCAGCTGCATGTTGAAGCCGGCAAAGGACGCAAGTACGTAGTCCTGGTAGGTCGAGAACGTACCATGGGGCCATTATCATGGCAAGCAATTAAAGAGATGGGTGGATTGGGAGATTGCGAATTTTGGACCAAACTTTCCTTGGATGGAATGTGCCTTCATACTACAGCTTCTATTCGAGACGTACTGGGATACGAATCGGAAGACCTACTTGGTAGAATGTTGGCTAAGATGTCATCCGAAGTCGATGGACCCAAGATCTTAAAAGCTATCCGAGATGCGTGGCATGGTACCAAAGTCGTCACAGTCGCACACGTCCTCATCAATCGAGACGGAAGAATGGTCAATTGCATCAGTCATTTTTACCCACCGCGTCTCATCTCATCTCATCCTGAATCCGATACAAATAATGCTACCACGAACTCGAGCAAACCTGCCGGCGCACCTCCAGTGATATATTGTCAAATCAATGAAGCCGGCTCCGCTCAACGTAAGACTACGGCCACTACACCCGAAGTAATGGCTTCTTCTCGACCACCCACATCAGCTTATGATCAATCATATTTGAACTCGTCACTTCCTGCTGGATCGGGTGCAGAGAATTCAAACCTGTCTTCAGATGGGACACAATCTGAGCCAAGATTGTCGAACCCCGCCGTCGAAGACAACTTATTCGGTGCATTGGATACCTCCAAGAAGACTGCTTGGAAGTAAGTAACACATTCATAAATATATTTTGGACCTTGCGAAGTACTTCTCTGACCCTCTCGTGATTCTTGTCAGTTTTGAACTCAGCGAATTAAAGATCCGGAACAAGAATCTCAAGAGCGAAGTAAATGCTAAACAACATAAGGGTAGTTCCCGACCCAAAACCGTTGAAATAAACACCAACCAATCCAGAATTTTGGGTACCAACCAAGATAGAATAGTCAAACCCACCTTCGGGGGTCACAACCAGCGCTCTCCGAGCGACACTGGGACCGACAAAAAGTATGAATGCAGAAGTGGGATGCCGGAGGTATCGTTGTCCTGCAATGTGAGTTTTGTTTATAGTCTTGGTGATCCCTGCCTCTGGAGTTAGTCCCATCTTTTGCTGAATTTGTTTGTCTTGCTTGGATTGTAGTTTCCATCAAACAATATCCTTTTTCCCGCCAATCATGTTCAGTATTCGAACATTTTGACGAAGCCCTGAAAAGTTGGGACATGTGAGTTGGCCTTGCTTCACTTTCCGGAATCAGTCAGCGAATCTAGTCCTGCGCATCAGAATCCCAGCGAAACAGCTACCATCCCTAGCCCAGTTTACTGAGTGTGATGTGAATCGATTACCAAATTCCTCAAACGACTGCCTCACTCCTCAATTCATATCCGCCTTCGCTCCCTTAGATTCACGTTAAATTCACATTTCTTGCTTCGCTGATTTACTTCGTTTTTCTCAATCTCTTCCTGTGAAGGATTTAATTGATCCTTCTTTCAGGATACTCCTTTCTCTGCTCGTGGCAACAACAAAAGAATGAGTGTATTTCGAGAGATTATTTTTCTTATCGTTTATGTTGTTTATTTTTATAGGGTTTCTTTCTTTTCATTTTAGAGTGGTCATTCTTTATCAAAGAACAAGAACAGATTTATATCCACTTTCATTTCAATTAGCAGCAGCAGTTTTAGTTTTCTTTCCTTTTATGTTGTGCCAATAGAGCAAGATTTTCTTTGATATATTTATATTTATAAATACACATACACATACACACCTCACATATATATAAATATATATATATATATGTCTTTGTTTGATCTTCTAGTGGATTTTGAGAATTGTTGTGTTGAATATGTGGTGTAGGATACTGTTTCTTCTGTTTGGATCTTTCTCTCTCATTACACCAACAGATTTATGAAGTATGATCAAAAACTTTCATTTGTGGTTCCTTTCGAAATTCAAGGCTTTTAAAATTCAACTCAATCATCTTGGATGAAATGGTGCACACAGATATTTAAAATCTAAAATATAAAAACATACAAGTGACTTGCATAAGTACCATTGCTTTCCCTGTTGGTCGGGTCCTCTGAGTCTATGTATGTATGAATTCAGCGTGGTTGCTTTTTACTTTTTTTATTTCTACTTTTCAACTATTGGGGTTTATCCATTTGGTTTTCTCTTTCAATTGTTCCTTTTTGGTATATTTGTAATCTTCTATATTGTTGATTTTCCTTATTTGGCTTCATATTGATTTTTTTGGTTTTGTTTTGCCCGCTGTTCTAATTGGCAAACAAATTTCTGTATCATTGTTTCTTTTTTCCTTTCAGTAATAATAAACAACATGGAAGTTGAACACTTACCATCTCTTTGTTTCTTTGTTGCCTTTGACTAATGAATCTGCTTTTTACAAAAAACTAACAAAACAGTAACAAAACAGTCTGTGTGATTGGTATCCTGGCAGTGGTGCTCAGTCCTTTGCTTTTTCACTACTCCATTGTTTTTTGCACTTTTTCTTCCCGCATTTACTGTTTGCAATGTGTCTGTGTTTCATTTGCACCTTCCCACTGCTTCATTTTGAAATTTGTCTTTTGCAAGTACTCCATTTTTTGAGCTCTCAGAAGCAGTACATCAAAAGTGTGCTTTTTACTCCATTAACTTGAATTTTTCATCCCTATGCCCAAGTAACTTGGTGGGGAATAGGTGCGTACACTGCTTCATCATCCACCAAATCATGATTTTGACTTTGTTTTACAAGTGATGAGGTGTGGGTGCGCCCGCATGGTCTCTAGTCTACCTGAAAAAGAAGTGTTGTCTAGTGAGTTGAGTTTCTGTCTTACTGAAATATGTACAATGCAATCATTTTTTTTTAGTTCCAAGCCCTAGACTTTAAATACCCTTGAGTCAATCTCTACTTCCAATTCTGAAGACACAAAGAGTATAACTGACTCTGCTGAGTCAATTCAAAGGTATGCACAATTCTCCTTTGGGGTCTCCTTCAATGTTTTTTGACTTGTGTTTTGTTGTACTGAAATAAGTATAGTCTGATCAATTGTTTTTGTTTTTAGTTCTGAGGTCTCTACTTCATCTATTCAAAACCACAAGATGTCTTTCTTGGTCCTCCTGATTCTTGACTTCAAAGGTCAAAGAAGATTGGATCACTGTCTACTATCCCGGAGAACTCCAAATCATCCTTCCCAAGAGTTTCTTGAGATATCCAACCTTCTCTACACATCCACATCACTTCAAAATTAAAGACAATCACTGCTGGTTGTGGTACTCCAGGGTTTAGCCATGGTGATGTGACTGGAACATTATTTCTATCTTCAACAGGACATGACACAGCCAATTCTGCTCAAAACCAGCTTTTGATTGCATGGGCTATGTGCTTTGTACCCATTCTCCAAGGCAAAAAATGATTGAACTTGAAGCACAAAATGATTAATAATGCAGATTTAATGCAGAAAAATGCAGATTTAATGCAGATTTAGTGCATGTTTAATCATTTTGTAAATTAAATGTAATCATTTTTCACCTTGGAGAAACACATTATATTTGCAGTATAACTGCATCCTACAAAGTGCAACTTGAGAGGCCGTCTTTTATACCGTGGAGTAGGCCCAGGAAATGGTGTATGACTGTTCTGCCTCATCTGGCGTGTGGAGCACTCCTTGAATGTAGGATGTGTTGCTACTGGGACTACTAGAGAGAGAATTATAAGGCATTACCACTGTACAAGATACTGCCATCAGTTCTAGAAAATGGCAGGAGTGTCTTTTGCCATTCATCACACATCATTTATGAATCAAGTGTTGATTTGTCTGTTGTATTGTTTTGAATGAAAATACCTGTTGCGGGTCATAAGGTGTGCCATAAGGCCAAAGCTTGACAGTCATTTCACCCATCCAACAATGAACGATGGAGATGAGCAAACTGATTTTCTGAGCTACTGTGGTCAGATTGTAATTTTGGTAAACTCTCTTTGAATTCCAAACCCAGGTTGGATGATAGAATAGGCCGCCGAGGTCAACTTTGCAAAGTGTGCTTGACCAGACCAATGTGAAAAAAGAACTAGCCAAACCTTCATAACAAAAATTTCAGCTATTCAAAAGAAACTTCAGTCCGCATATCACCCGCGATGCTCTTTGCACTTTGAGCATCAAGCATATTCATGACAGCTGGAAAGCAATGGTAGTAATGGTAGTACCCGCCGTTCCACCAAAGGTGAATGATCTGCGTGGTATCTTGGAATGATAGCGAAGCCCTGATTTGATGATGAAGTGCAGCATACGTCAGCTGAATATCAAAGTAGAAGCTCTCGAAATATAAACTCATGGTCCCATGACCAACTTTTCATTGAGATGAAAACTAAAGCTCCAAAGTGAGAAATGACTGACCAGTCTCGGGCGTGACAAATATTTTGATAAGCTCTTCCTCTGTCCAATTACAAGACGTTATTAAGAGAATTCCTCCCGGTTTCGCTAACAAGCTAGATATCCGGCTAGGGTAATGTGTGTATGACTTTTGACCATCAATCAGCTCATCGGAAAGGCTGATTGCATCAAAGGTCTGTTTTGAATATGGAAATCGAAAATTTAAATCTCAGAATTAAGTTATTTCAAACTTGGCCATTCTGATCTACCTCGTGGGAGGGTAAGAGTAATGGAATCTGTCGAGCGGTAGGAACGTGTAGATACCCACGCCTTTATCCGTAATCAGATCCCAGCCATCTCTCTCTTTTCCTTGGCGGGTCATCGACCGGTTGGGAGGTTCTATTGTGTCCCTCAGAATATCTTTGACTTGGAGACGAAGACCTTTGATACCTTTTGCCTGGGCTATGCGTGAGGTAAGCTCGATTGAGCCGGCGCTATAATCAATGCCAGTGAGCTGATTCACTGAATAACCCCCTTGAGCAAGTAGAAATAGTAGCTGTCCGTTTCCACAACCCACTGTAGCAAACACAAACATAGGTCTTCAGTGAAATCGATCAAGGATATTTTTCGGCAAGTATTACTAAGCCTGCTGATCGAAGGATCCGAGGGATTTGAGATCAAGTGACATACCATCGAGAATGTGTTGAGATTCCAGACCTGGCAAGGGGCGATCGATAGGAGACTCAAGCTCCGAAAAGGATGTCTTAGTAGTCGGAGTCATAGGAGACGGAAGATGATGTGCGATCCAATCCAAGATTTCATCTGAGCTATCTTCACCGAACCAGACCTCGCCTTCATCCCCAATATCCTGAAAGCTTTCGAGCTCTCGGCCATAAGTCAAATCCCAAAATTCGTGAGTGCCAAGTTTGGATGGTGGAAGAGTCTCGACCTCAGGCACGCTTTGATCGTGGATCGCTTCTTGCATCTTAGGCGTAGAATGTAATATCCAGCTAGAGTAGAGACCAAATGCGATCGGGAAGACGGTCGTCGGGGGTTTTATCGTCTTGCCATCCAACGGTTGAAGTTTTGTTTTATGTGAGGCGGGAAGGCTTTATGGTTTGAACAAATCACAGAAGGAAACTGTATCACATGAAACATAACAATTTGATATTGGGTAAACAAACAAATCAAGCCGAACTTGCCAGGTCTCCTTGAAACTTTCAAGTCGCTTCAACTGCACATTGTGCTCAATACGCACTACAGGGCCACCATCCAACTCGGGATTCAAATTGCTCATTGGTGTTGTGAGCGGCGCTACTAATTTCTCCGAAGGAAAACCAAGAATGGAGCACTCAAACCGGGGGATCACGAAGGCAGATCTAACCCTTCCTTAACAAAGTACTACAACGAGGATTTGTAGTGTATGGTGCACATAGTCAGCTTCATAACAGTTATGCTATCTGCACGGGCAACGTGAGTCCCGATGTGCGATCACGGTCATAGAACAAAAGCCTTGGTGAACCAAGGGTCTGATGCGGAAACCAGTGTAAATATTATATCGGCTACTGACATCGCTAGACTCAGCTAAAACGACGCAGGGCTTTTAATCTACACTAAAGCTACTCGGTGGCATCAAGCGAAAATCATGATCAGTGTCAACTAGACATTGTATTGATTTCGATGACAATACGAGATGATCGCCTCGAGAGGGCATTCGTGACACAGCGTGAACATTAAGAAGGGGCAAGTTTACTCTTCTTTCATCATACATCATTGCTGTTTTGCACGTCCTTTTTACAAAACTACTTTCCGTTTCTTGACCATATGTTTGTCCTTGATTAGCTTTCTAACTTCTTGCTCAGGCCTTAAATCGATATCCACAAATTCTCTCTCCTTTTGTTCCAGTTCGATGGCCTGTTTTACAAATCGGATGGCCTCGACATTGTAAGCTACCATATCAGCGTGTTTCTTGAGGCTCCTAGTCATATTTGTTTTGATCGAATCTATCATCAATTTGAGACTGGCGGTGACCGTGATTTGTGTTTCGTGAGTACGAATCAAAAATGACAAGATTCGACAGACGAGTGACGTGGAGCAGCCCTGTGAATCGGAAGGGACCATGTCAGAAGTGAGGGGATTGGCATCAGTTGCATATTGATGATGAGCGCAATAGTCTGAAAAGCGTTTCAATCAATATCAAGCCGCACCTTTTTAGCCCAGTAATTAATGTGAGTCAACATCATGGTCACCTGCGCGAAAGGTAATACCAGTAGAGCGTCCTCCAGTGCCGCCCGAGGTATTCGCTGAATCACCTTAAGCACATAGGCGGACGCGGATATATTATCATAGGCCACAAGAATCGGATTCCGAGCAGGTGGCGCAAGCTTCTCAGCTTTTTCAGGATCCATGTTCTCTTTAGCAATGTTGAACCGGTTGGTCAAGTCCAAGTCGGCATCGGCCAACAGGAGCGCCTCGATTATTCTCTCCCCTGCCATCAACGTCTCAGTTGTTTGTTTGGAAACAGCCTCTACCTCCTCGTCGCCCGCCTCTTCACCTTGCTTTCTAGATTGTGTGATTGATATATCCAATTTCTCCGATTCCTCAAGGCTGTAAAGACGTTCGAGTTCTTTCTCGCGTTCTTCTTCAAGGAACAATGGCTCGTCTGTCTTTATCCACACTCTGATTGATTTATCATGAGATCCAGAGATCAACAGCTGGCCATCGTGACTGACGGCAAGGGCTGAAATCTCGCCGTGATGTCCTTGAAGTGTTTGGATGTTCTCGAACTAAAGAAAATGACGACAATGAAGTTACTTCTTCAGGGAACTGTGAGTGAATTGTAATATACTCACCTTGTCACCATCCCAATACTTGACCATCTTATCTTTCCCAACGGTCCAAAAGTAGTGCGAGCGGCTTTCAAACTTGACCTGCATGACACTCTCCTCATGTGCAAAGATAGACTTGTGACAATCTCCAAAGTCCAAGCCCCAAATCTTGACATTTTTGTCCGCCGAACAAGTGACTATCAGCTTTGAGTCAAAAGATATGTCCATCGACAGGACGGGTAGCTGCAATCCAAATAGTTGAGAAGTTAATGTCAAGATAGGTGAGGCATCTGTAAACAGATTAGTCCGATGGAGAAAGTGACACTAACTTTGTGGCCGTAGAGGGACAAGAAGAACTTGAGCGTATCCTGGAAGAACACTTTAACTGTACTATCCAAGGTGGCCACCGCCAAAAATTTCGAATCCGGGCTGTATCGTACACTCAAGACGTCATCAGACATCTTCATAGTTTTGGACAAGGTAGCTGATAGTTCGACAGTTTTAAGCTCTCCGGTAAAAGCAGTCGCGCTAGAAGATGGATTGGCTGTCTTCTTAGTAAATGTCCAAAATTTTATACTCTTATCACCACTTCCGGTGACGAATCCCTTCGAATCCGGCCTCAGGTCAAGTGACCATATGGGACCAGTGTGTGCCTCGATGGTGGCGATCAGTGTAGATGAGCTCAGTTCGTAGATCATGAGTTTGCCGCACTTGGTACCTACCAAGATCTTTGATAATCGTTAGGACACGAGTTCGACAATACCCTCCGCGAATGATGCAGATGGAAATGTAGACAATGATACTTACATGTTGATTGTCAGGAAGCCAAGCAACGCACAAGGCATATCCACACTCCATCGTTCGGATACACTTTTGAGTCTGAATGTTCCACACCTTCAGAGAGCCATTACTGCCGCTAGCAACTAGTTGATCATTGAATGAGATGGAAACAGCACGAATTCCAGTTCGGTGGCCCGGTAAGGTGATAGAGTGTAGCAATGTGGACTGTAGCGACCCGGATTTAGAAGATGATACGGGCTTGGGTATCGTGAAAACTTCTACAGAATTGTTGCCTAGCGCTAACATTACTTCAAGCTCGTTGGGTTTTTCCCCCGTCCGAAATAAAAGTGGGTTGGCTGTCGGTGCAAATGCAAAAGAACATATCCGACTAGTACCCCTGACCGTGATCCAAGGATGGATGCGATCGAGCCACGTGATGGTGTCGTCTGTACTTGTCAAATCAGCCACATTTGATGAGGCTTTTTGAGACTTCGATGCCTCTCTTTTGCGACGCCTAGCTTTCTTCTTTTTGATCTCTTCCACTGTACGTATCCTCCAAACTTCAACGTCTCGGTCCCCTACTTGAAATGCAATCACGATACCACTTATGCCACCACGGAGAGAATATCTCTGAGCGATCGCGTTCAGTACCCGCTTTCCCGGAGCGGCATGTGTGCTCAAAGTGAGAGACCCAGCGCCGATAATAGCTCGTTGGAGACCATCTCCGCTCGCTGAAGGTTGCGGGCCCTTGAGAAGTACCAAGGAAGACAAAATCCACAGTTTTACTTCGCCTTCTCCCCCAGTTGTCATGAGTAGCTGGTCATCCAAGGTAGGTTCACTCGACTCTTCGCTATCCGCGGCTGCCAGGGGAACAGATGGTATATGAGGTACGACTGTGAGAGACCAACTCTCGGTCCGATGTGCGACAACAGATTCGATGGAGTGTTGAGTCTGAAGATCCCATAGCTTGAGATAGGTGTCTTGAGAGGTTGTGAGAAGATGAGTAGAGGGGGATGGCAATGATGTTGAAGAAGAAGGATCGGGTATGTGAGTGGGGACTGCAACAAATACGAGGCCCGTGATACGGTGATTGTGTCCGCGTAGTCTGAAGTAACACACGAAAAGCTATCGTCAGCCAGACACTCGAGGGGTGAGGAAAAGGAAGCTAGTTTCTCACTTGAACAACCCAGTTTCAGCGACAGGATCCCAAATGACCACTTCCCCGTCTACTGCGCCACTAGCAAGCCTGCCTCCATCACGGTCCCATGCGAGAATGGAGATTGCGCGACGGTGTCCTTCGAAAATGGAAAGGGGGTCATGGGATTTCCCCGACCAAAGCCTAATTGAACCGTCCTGATAGCCGACTGCGAAAAGATTAGGGTCGACGGGAGACCGGGAAATGGCGGTGACGGGAGAAGTGTGACCAGTTGCGTGCCACATAGCGATCTAAAAGCGGTCAAGTATACAGATGTAAATGATCACAACCCATCGTGCGTATTGAGGAGACCCGACAAGTGAAGATGAAGACCAACCCTTTCACCCCGTTTGGTATCCCAGACAAACACATCTTCGAGGGCTGGTACATAAGCGCGCTTGCCATCGAATAAAGAATTGGATGAGTTGGACGCAATTAAACCGAAGACCTCGGTCCCACCATGACGAAGATAACTAGAAAATGCTCAAATAGAATAGTCAGTCGGAGGTCAAACTCGTTTGGAAGTTTTGAAAAAATATGATAGGCTCCATGGGCACTCACGATCGAACCATGGATATCGAATGAAATGGTAGTGCACAGGATTGTTGATTCAAATTTTCTGTCGTGCGAAGTGTCTCGGCCGAACTGGTGTCCTCGCGCTAACTCAGCAAAGTTAGATGGAGCACAATGTGAAAATTATGGAGTCGAACCTATGGGTTTAAGCAGCGGGCCAACATGTGGTCAAGCTGTACAAGCAGAATCCAGATTAGGGGTATGACAGGACCCCGGAGAGCTCCTGTAGAGGTGCGTGATGTAAAAGATTTTATTTTCTTATGCTTGCTGTGAATTGCTGTGTATTTCACAGCATCCACACCACGTTAAAAACTCTTCACAATTGTGTAGGTATGAAATTCACAGTCAACAAAGTGCTTTGCTTCTGGCTAGGCATTATTGAGGGAGAAGCAAGGGATCTGGTGAAGTTTTTATGAATGTAAACCGTGGTGAAGTGTGTGTACTGTAGGAAAATTTTTTACATCATGCACCTCGATAAGAGCTCTCCGGGGTCCTGGTATGACCCGGTCTTGCGGCTGCAGGGCCGGCCATGGGTCCGGTCCAGACCCGGCATTGGCCACGATACCCTTGAGAATGCTGACGGCAAGCACCGGGCAGGCCCCGGCTCGGGCCAGCCCTTTTTAAGCCTGTTCGAGAGCTTAGGACGGATGCTTGATTTTTTTTAAGTGCGTTTTGGCTTCTATTGCATACAACACTATCTGAACTTTTTGAAACAAGAGGTGACTAGTTTACCTTGGGGTTTTGGCCATCTAGTCGGAGCAAAGGGTTTCAATGCCATGTGATATACTTCTATCTTCCTCTTTTTTTTGATATTTTACTTCTGTAAAAGAAATTATTGTTGTTTTCACACCTTTGTGCAAGCACATGCTTTTGATGGAATAACAGATTATGATTAACTGTTTGTTAAATATAATTTATATGATAACTGTCTCAATGGTAGTTTCCGCCGAACTCTGTAACAAGATTAGACAGACGCTGTTTCTGATGTTTTTTAATCCAGCCCTGTCACACAAGCATTTATCAGTGGTTTTAAAGGTATCTTTTTTGTTTCTGTTTTTTGTGTTAAGACTGCCTTGACGGTAGTATCTGCCAAACTCTGTATTGAGATTTAGCAGACACTGTTTCTGATGTTTTTCAATCCAGCCCTGATACACGAGCATTTATCAATGATTTTGAGGTTGATTTGGTTTTCTTTCATCTCCTGGCACCTTGTCCTTTGCTCTGCAACCGATCCCCTTGGTTTAGTCCCTGTAAAAATTAACAAATCTTTTAGTGTTTAATATATATTCTGATAGATAAGGGAAAACTTTTGGTGAGTCTAGCAACTTTTTACTGTTGTTCCAATTGATTTTGATGTTGTTGTCTTTTTCCAGAAAATTGCCTCAACAAGCCTTCACTGATGCCTCCACAATTTTTTTTGATGGCCCCGGCCCCAAGTCCGAGTAGCCCTGGAACAGGGCCTTTCTCACTATTGCCAGGCTGGACTTAAGGCCCCAGGCTTGGCCTTGACCTAGCCCAAATAACACTTGGGCAGACTTGGCCAGGCCGGGTCATAGCCTTAATCCAGATGTGGGAAAGATGTGTCACCCTTGGGGCCAGACTTACAGCCAATTTGAGGAATAATTTTGTTTTTAAAAAAAAGACGAAAGATATAAAATCATGAAATTGAATAGCATCAACATCCTTTGCTCTTAGCTTCACAAAGCCCTCTCTGCGCGGCCGCGTCTGCGCCCTTGCAGAGGGGCTAATGACTAATTGTGGATTGCTGGCATGAGGACTAACTCCTTAAGTGCCCTTAAGTGGTTTTTTGGAATTTCATGCTTCCCTCACAAGCAAACTTCACCTGACTCCGCAGGAAAAGTTGCTTGTGAAAATTTTCTATGTGTGTATCTCTTGATATCCAGAGAGAAAAATAACTCCATCATGCTGTTCTCGAGGGAGTTTTCAAGCCTTATGTCTCACTTGTAAAGGATTGCGTACAGTGTGTATTTGGAGCATATGTACCCAATTTTTGAATCAACAATACAGGTGTGTTGTAACAATCATCAAACTAATTTTTTAGTCACACCATTCAGACTGGCCATGATGCTAGGCTATCAAATTATGTACAATTTTTATTGGAACTCCTGTCCCTGCAGAGTCAGGTGAAGTAGGACCCCGGAATGCGCCTCCTAAGGGTAGTCTAGTAGAAAAGTATGTTTTGAGCTCCCGCGGAGCTCCGTCCCTGCTAAACTGCTAAGTACTTTCCTACCTTCACCCATAGTTTTAAACGGGGCCTAATCATTCCTTGGACATTCTTGAGGTGTTTCACAAGCTTTTGCAACTGCTTCGAATGCTTGCAAGGTTGGCAATAACCAAAGTCAGAAATGTGCATTATCAATTAGAGCTATATATAATCCCATGAAGGGTAACTCCGCGGGAGCTCAAAACCTCATTTTCTACTAGACTACCCTTAGTAGGTGCATTCCGGGGTCCTGGTGAAGTTTGTTTGTGAGGGAAGCATGAAATTCCAAAGAAACCACTTAAGGGCACTTAAGGAGTGTAGTCCTCACACCAGGAATCCACAATTAGTCATAAGCCCCTCTGCAAGGGCGTAGACATGGCCACACAGAGAGGAATTTGTGGAGCTAACCTTTGCTTCAACCAAATGGCTGAATTCTCCAAGGTGTATTAGTCTCTACATATTCAACTTGTTTAGATAGTGTTTCATGCAATAAATGCCTTAATGCACTTTAAAAAAATGCACATCATTTGGTACGCTTGTATGAGGCACACAAGGAGAGAAGTCCCCAGTCCATGTACACATGAACACAAGGGATCCTGGGATAAATATCCACAGTATTGGGGACCGGGTAATGACTAACCTCAATTTTTTGCTCTTCCCATTTTATGTCTATGTAGTCTCATCTAGGGCCCTCTTTGGGAGCAGTGACAAAGTGTAGTGCATTTTTGGGTCCAATAATGCAGTATAGACAAAAAACCACATGTGAAGTGTGGTACAATTTCATTTTATGTTTTTTGGCCATGCTTGTTTGGCAGAACCACACCAACCCCTATCATCTTCATCCTCTGTACCTCCAACATATCAATCAATTATCACTCAACTTTCAAAAACAATGATGTCTTACTCAGATTAGCTCAAAGATGGCCATATCAATGGGCACATGCTTACACAGTTGCCTCTGCATGTTGTAGAGCTTATAACTCAACAAGGGTTATACAGAGCGTGAAGGGGATAATCTACCAAATAAAGACTAGTAGAAGATGTCTAAAGACTTCCCTACTGAAACAAGACAATCAGAAAGGGGAACTCTGTTAAATTGAGTACTGATAAGTATCAAAAGAGAAAAGCAACTTGATGTAACTCTCAAAGGACTAAAGGCACGGTTTTTGAATGAAATAGCACAATTTTAATTAACTCTCAACACTTATAGTGCTATTCCTTGAAGTTGGTCACTTGTTATTAACAGATAGGAATGTTATAACAACAGGACTTTTACATTGCAAGTTATCTGTTGGATATTATTCAACATATTTGATTTTGTGATTTGATGTCATCAGCTGTTTACCACCACTTCTTTACCATTTCTGGTTTCACCATAGTTCATCACGCTTCACTTCTGACTTGCAAACTTCTTAGAGTTCTTGCTTTAGAAGTAGAACCTTATTTCTTCCAACCCACTCCTCCCTTTCTAGGTTTGATTAGTATTGGTTCCTTTAATCTATTTCTGGTGACTGATATTTTATTATTTTTTCCTGTTGCAAAATTACTTTTTTGTTTGAATTTTATATATATATATTATTATATATTAACGGTACTCAAAGTTGAAAGGTAGATTCTGCCTTTTTGAAACCTAGAATACTAGTTTTTTTTTGGCGGGGAAAAAGAAACTGATATGCAGCCCAATTTTTTTCACTTTGAGGTCCCTCTGCTTATAATTTTTGCCCTTGGCATCATTCACATCAAAACCTTTCAAAACGCCTCAAAACGCTTTTCTACTCGACATGATATCGACTGCCACAGCAATCTCCAGAATCATATTCGATGACTCTGAAGAAGTCTAATCCTCTCGGTGCTGTCCCTCAGTTGTGCCTTCAAAGCTCAAGATGCAATGTCAATCCAATAACCATACCAAAAAATCACAAATTCATCATCAGATCCTGAAGATTCACTTCATACCCCAATTCTTCCAAGATCACCTCAACTCTCTTGTACTTCAATCAGTAGGAGATTCACTTCACCTAATTCCATAAACCATTCTTCAAATTTATCTCCTACTTCAAGTCCAACCCAAAATCAATCAATCAATCGAGTTGCACTTCAAGCAAAAAGAGCTGCAGCTGCTAAAATTGAAGCTTCTCCTTTTGGACCACTTTCAAGATCTTTCCTCAGCAAATTAGAATCAGAATCTTTGAATTGGTAGGTTTAGGTTTGGATGGAATTGGTGGTTAAGAGGGCGTAATCGGTTTGGATGTAAAAGATTCAATGATTATGATTTATGCTTTAGTCGTTAGATAGGTCATTTTATTCTTGTACTCCAAATCAACATAGTGAGTTGAAGTAGATGGATGTAATCAGATTAGATATATACCTTTTGAGTTTGGAATACCAGCTCAACGGCTTTGTTTTGGTTTTGTTTTGATTTGTTTGAATCACTTGATGTCTTTCATCTGATTTGAATTGATCAACTTTGATTTGATTGAATCAAATCTATGAGTTGACTCATTTTGATTTGAATCAATTGATTCCTTTTGATCGATCGAGGCTGACGTGTGTAGGCAGCCTGCACAACCCAAATCTCACTTTTCCCAGTCGTGCCTAGTTTTTGTATCTAGGTTTTCAAAAAAGGTAGAATCTACCTTTCAACTTTGAGTACCGTAATTATATTCTTTTTTCTTTATTTACATTTTAAATAAGATATTGTGTACATCCTCATTAGGCATCAGTTTCTCATTTGCTATTTTATCATTTTTAGTATGATGTTTAACATTGGTAGTG